TTACACCGTTGCAACAAGAATGACACCGTTGCAACAAAAGGAACTGAGACAGTAACCACTCCCACTGGCTATATATTGCGTGGGGAGAGTGGGCAGGGCTTCTACCCAAATATAGCAAGAGATTTCTAGAAAATTCCAATCTGACTGCACGGGCACAGGAAATACCATATGTGTGATTTCACAACAATATAGAACTGGTTCCCAACCACTTTGACCAGGGACCACTCTTCAATATTAGTACCAAAACGGTTATGAATCAGTTTTTGGTCAACTTTAGATTTGGTTTGGTTATTTGGGGTGCTGAGTCAGAAAATGGCATTGGATAGACCACATCAGCTCTAGTTTCTGATACAGAACGTATGCCATCATCTAGTGCTTGCCATCTGCTCGCCTACAGAAAACCATACTCAATAAGCCTAGGCACTATAAGAGGCACCACTAGACCAGGGGATACTTGGCCGGGGTCCATTTGGCCGGGGTCCACTTGACCAGGGACCACTTGATCAGGGACCCCTTTGACCAGGAACCACTTCCCAACATTAGTACCAAATCAGTGTTTGAACAACTTTAGATTCGGTTTGGTTATCTGGGGTGCTGATTCAGAAAATGGCATTGGATAGTCCACATCAGCTCTAGTTTCTGATACAGAACGTATTCCACCCAGTAGTTGCCATCTGCTCGCCTACAGAAAACCATACTTAATAAGCCTAGGCACTATAAGAGGGACCACTAGACCAGGGGCTACTTGGCCGGGGTCCATTTGGCCGGGGTCCACTTGACCAGGGACCACTTGATCAGGGACCCCTTTGACCAGGAACCACTCTCCAACATTAGTACCAAATCAGTATTTGAACAACTTTAGATTCGGTTTGGTTATTTGGGGTGCTGAGTCAGAAAATGGCATCGGATAGACCACATCAGCTCTAGTTTCTGATACAGAATGTATGCCACCCAGTAGTTGCCATCTGCTCGCCTACAGAAAACCATACTGCCTAGGCACTATAAGAGGGACCACTAGACCAAGGACTACTTGGCTGGGGACCACTTGACCAGGGACCACTTGATCAGGGACCACTCTCCAACATTTGTACCAAAAGAGTTACAAATCGGTATTTGATCAACTTTAGATTCGGTTTGGTTATTTGGGATGCTGATTCAGAAAATGGCATTGGATAGACCACATCAGCTCTAGTTTCTGATACAGAACATATGCCACCCAGTAGTTGCCATCTGCTCGCCTACAGAAAACCATACTTAATAAGCCTAGGCACTATAAGAGGAACCACTAGACCAGGGACCACTTGGCCGGGGATCACTTGATCAGGGACCCCTTTGACCAGGAACCACTCTCCAACATTAGTACCAAATCAGTGTTTGAACAACTTTAGATTCAGTTTGGTTATTTGGGGTGCTGAGTCAGAAAATGGCATTGGATAGACCACATCAGCTCTAGTTTCTGATACAGAACATATGCCACCCAGTAGTTGCCATCTGCTCGCCTACAGAAAACCATACTTAATAAGCCTAGGCACTATAAGAGGGACCACTAGACCAGGGACCACTTGGCCGGGGACCACTTGACCAGGGACCACTCTCCAACGTTAGTACCAAAAGGGTTACAAATTGGTGTTTGATCAACTTTAGATTCGGTTTGGTTATTTGGGGTGCTGAGTCAGAAAATGGCATCGGATAGACCACATCAGCTCTAGTTTCTGATACAGAACATATGCCACCCAGTAGTTGCCATCTGCTTGCCCACAGTAAACTATATTTAATAATCTAGAGCTGATGTAACGGTGTAGTAATGGTGAGGCTGTGGACCATAGTTTAGTTCTTGGGGACCACTTGTGGTACACGGACCACAGGTTGGGAACCACTGATTTCAATTCTAGCAATGGTTTCTTTGGCTTTGCCAAAGTTGCTTAATGCCTATACTGAAAATTAAACCGACCTTGGGAGACATCCGAATGTTACAGAATCTTAACAAAAAATATTGGTGAGTGTTTCGACTTCTAAATTCCCCCTGCAACCTTTCATGCATGTTTCTAATATTGCTTCGTATGCACAAATTTAACGAATTTCTTACGACTTACGAGGGGTAACTTTTTTTTTGCACAGCTCTAATAAACATCTTTAACTCTCACAACAAATGTTCAAAAATAAACAGCAAAAAATCATTTATTTAGCAAAAAAACATAAACATCTTTATAGGAAATGATTTTAAGGAAAAAGGAATGCTGTAAATGCTACGAGCTCGGCTCTTTCACAGTTTGGGTTGCAATAATTCCAGGGGGGAAAAATTGAAACAACTCACACACATTTCTCTGCAAACTCATACCTGGCTAGCTTCACAAAAGTTTTGTGGCTGGCTGTTTTTCAGAAGCAATGGCAAAATATCTTGGCTAGGAAACTCATGGTGTTGTCTATAAATTGACAACCATTATTCAAGGCACACACACATATACATATATATATATATCATGGACAAAATAAGGGAACCAGGCACCAACTGAGCTGAAGCCACAGAGTGGCAAACATCCTGACACCATCACAAACCAAAGCCCTCAAAGGCTTTGGAAACTAGATCTCTCACTCATTCAGAAACATATGAGACCTGAGGTAAGTATTGCTCCAAGAGTATATTCGCCACTTCTTCAACTCGGTGACCACTCCATTTCTTCGATTCACACATACTAGTGATAACATGGAGTGGTCAATAACGTAGAAAGACTAGGATCTGCTATAGCTTCATCCATGCTGGGCCAATGCTTCCTCCAAAGATGGCTTTTCCAGAAAGAAAGGGGGAAATTGTTGGGAGACATCCGAATACAACAGGAGCAAGAATGGTACCATTGAGAGCTTCAAGATATTCCTTCAGATTTACTAGATTCCTTCAAGCAAGTAAGTATGGAAAGAACAAGAAGAGAGTAAGTACCTTCTGTGCAAAAAGAATGCCATAATGTTCAAATAACATTAGAATGTGGCCAAGATGGCAAAAGTTATTACCGAGAAAAAGTACGCAACAAAGGGAGGCAATAACCGGGGATTTAGCCCAGGTTGAGCCAAAGAGGCATCCAGTTCTAACCTCTAACACAGAATGTGGAGATGACTGAATGCCAACATGAGATATGAATCCATATCACTCTTCATGATATTGAGAAGACACTATTGAGCTGAATGAGCAAAAGTGGAGCTCTGGAGGACCAGTTTACCCTTCTTGACTGACCATCAATGATCCAACAAAAGGCGTTTTAAGACACAAGTTAACCTAACGTAAAACATGGAGTTGTCTGGATGCCAACACTGGATGAGATATGAATCCATATCACTCTTCAAGATATTGAGAATGAGCAAAGTGGAGCTCTGGAGGACCAGGTTTCCCTCCTTGACTAACCATCAATGATCCAACAAAAGGAGTTTAAGTCACAAGTCAACCTAACGTATAACATGGAGTTGCCTGGAAGTGGAGCTCTGGAGGACCAGTTTTCCCTCCTCAACTGGCCATCGATGATCCAACAAAAAGAGTTTTATGATACAAGTCAACCTAACGTAGAACATGCAGTTGACTGAGTGCCAACACTGGATGAGATATGAATCCATATCACTCTTCAAGATATTGAGAAGACACAATTGAGCTGAATGAGCAAAAGTGGGGCTCTGGAGGACCAGATTACCCTCCTCGACTAACCATCAATAATCTAACAAAAGGAGTTTTAAGACACACGTCAACCTAACGTAGAACATGGAGTTGCCTGGATGACAACACTGGATGAGATATGAATCCATATCACTCTTAAAGATATTGACAATGAGAAAAGTGGGGCTCTGGAGGATGAGGTTACCCTCCTCGACTAACCATCAATGATCCAACAAAAGGAGTTTAAGATACAAGTCAACCTAATGTAGAACATACAGTTGACTGAGTGCCAACACTGGATGAGATATGAATCCATATCACTCCTCAAGATATTGAGAAGACACTATTGAGCTGAATGAGCAAAAGTGGAGCTCTGGAGGACCAGGTTACCCTCCTTGACTGACCACTGATGATCCAACAAAGGGAATTCTAAGACACGCGTCAACTTACAGGTTGAGTTAAAAAGGAAGGCAAGCATTCCAAGTGGATATGGTCAACTCAACCAGCTCACTTGAAATCAAGTAGATCTCGGTATTTTTGGATGACAGCTCCTGGAAGACCCCAAATGGGGGTTGTGGTTCAATATCTGGAGGATTGTCTGCCATATCTACTCATGTATAAGTCAACCATGTGTAAGTTGAAGGCAGGGTTTTGGGTCAAGGTTATTGATGTTCAAGCGATTTGCGGATCAGTTGAGGGTCAGTCTGTGGAGAGGAGAAAGCACTAATACTGCCTTAGGAGACCACTGCCATTATTTTCCAATCCTGGCATTGAAAAAGGGCACAGAAATGGTGCCATAATGGAGACAATAAAGGCATTAATGCTTTTTAATAGGTTCTCCCAGAATGGATGAAGATTTTCGCTTTTCAACACTCTACTCAGAGATGGTTCCTTTTATGGGTTGCTGTGAGTATTCCGGGCTGTATGGCCATGTTCCAGAAGCATTCTCTCCTGATGTTTCACCCACATCTATGGCAGACATCCTCAGAGGTGTTGGAAACTAGGTAAGTGGGGTTTATATATCTGTGAAAGAATGTCCGGGGTGGAAGAAAGAACTCTTGCCTGTTGGAGGCAAGTGTGAATGTTGCAGTTGGCCACCTTGATTAGCACTGAATAGCCTTGTAGTTTCAAAGACCGGATAAGGTATGAATCCAGATATTGATTCCTGCCTGGGGGAATCCTTTGTTGGGAGGTGTTAGCTGGGAATTCCAGATAAGAAACAATCAGGGCGAGCTAAAACCTCCCAATAAAAAGGAGACAGATAATTGCAAAAAAAATTTCGAATCTGGGAAGAGGGGTGAGCTCCTGTCTGTCAGCTCCAGCTTCCCGTGTAAGGACATGCGGGAAGACTCCCACAAGTTGGTAAAACATTCGGCCGTCCTCGGTAACGTCCTTGCAGACGGTCAATTCTCTCACACCAGAAGCCACTTGCAGTTTTGCTCCCGACACAGAAAAAAATAAATAAGCAGACTTTTTTTTTAAGATAGGGCCTTTGGCTAAAATTTCTAGACTTATATATGAATATATAGGGCGATTTGCACCATGACTGAGCACTTTCAGGAGGATTCATAGGCAATGCATATACAAAGACAACACATATACACTCCTGAGGGTTTGTTTTCGGAGATGAAGAGTGAATGCGCCTATGTTACTCCTACTTTCTTCGTTTGTGTCCTATGAAAGCAATGTGACATCCTTTTGTGCTTGGGAAAGAGGCAGAAAGTGCGAGTAGAGCTGACTTCGAGATACAAGAAGTGCTGCCACTTGTAGGGTCGGAGTGCCATTCCGCAAGATGGAATCCTGTTGGTGACTTAGACCAGTAGCAATCCCATTTTGGAGCAAGGAGTAGTGACAGCAGATGACAACAAAACCATAAAGTTCAACTCACTAATTCCTTAGCAGCTTTGTAGGTAGTGGGCTTCTCTTCTGAGTGGGATGGCTTCCATTGCTGTCCCCATGCGACTGCAAGACTCTACTTTCACCAATACAGTTAAGGCATCAAATATGTTCTTGGCAACGGATTGGGAGACGGTGATCTTTGGGCATTCAGACAACGTGGCCGGTCCAGCGGAGTTGATGGTGGAGGAACATTGCTTCAATGCATTGACCCCGAGGACTGGGAAGCTCTGGCCCTTGAGTGCTCTAATTGGAGGTCAGCTGTGACCAGCAGTGCTGCAGAATTCGAGCAACTGCTTTGGAAGACGGTGATCTTTGGGCATTCGGACAACGTGGCCGGTTCAGCAGAGTTGATGGCGGAGGAGCATTGCTTCAATGCATAGACCCCGAGAACTGGGAAGCTCTGACCCTTGAGTGCTCTAATTGGAGGTCAGCTGTGACCAGCAGTGCTGCAGAATTCGAGTAACTGCTTTGGGAAATGGTGATCTTTGGGCATTTGGACAACGTGGCTGGTTCAGTGGAGTTGATGGCGGAGGAGCATTGCTTCAATGCATAGACCCCGAGAACTGGGAAGCTCTGGTCCTTGAGTGCTCTAATTGGAGGTCAGCTGTGACCAGCAGTGCTGCAGAATTCAAAGAGGCACGAATGGAGAGCGAAAGGGAGCCAAGAGGAAGGCGCATCAAGCCAAACTCCGACTGGGACCACCTTCCATCTGGAAATGGATGTCCTCAATGTGGGGGAACATGCGGATCAAGAATAGGGCTCCACAGTTACCTACGGACACATATCCCTTCAGATACTATGCATCTTGGTCTTCCTTTTTTTGGCCACTCCAGTAATGCTCAGAGGATTTTCAGAAGAGGCACGATCCTCGCAGACTTTTGGCTTTGTTCAGTTCCCAAGTTAACGTCCTGCTCATGCGCCGGGCGGTCAACTTCATGTCTTTGGCCACTTCCACCACACGGCTCAGGGACCAGTTCAGATCCTGTAAGCTGTCGTCGGAGTCGAGATCCGATTGCGGTCTCCGCCATGCTTTCAGCGGTCCAAACTGGAAACTGCCAGGGGCATAAACTGGGAGACCAACTGGAGAGGGAGAGGTTGAGGTAGTTGCGACAGGAGGACAGTATCTGGAAAGAAGAAATGGAGAGAAGGTGAAATTTGGTCCATGAGGGTGAGAGCATGGGATGTCAGTAATGCAATATAAGGCGTACACAATCTAGACCAGGCATGGGCAAACTTTCTAACTTGGGGGCTGTATAGCAGGCCGGAGTGGGGTGGGTGGGCTAGGAGGAAGGAAAGGGGTTCTCCCCAAGTCCCCTCCCTGTCCTTTCATCCCCTTCCTCTTCTCTTTTGGATGCAGAAAGTGAAGGAAAGATGGGAAATGTTTGGATCCCAAAAGCGTTGGCCTTGGTCAGGATGAGATGGTGGATGGGAGAGAAAAAGTGTATCCATTAGACTCCATATTGCCTACTCCTGATCCAGAATCATTGAATCCTAGCGCTGGAAGTGACACCCAAAGGCCATCCTGCCCAATCCCCTGTCATGCAGGAAGGCACAATCAAAGCATTCCCAAGAGATAGCCTTTGTGGAAAACCCTCCAGAGAAGGAGACTCCACCACACTCCCAGGCAGCCTAGGCCACTCTCCAGGAAGTTCTTCCTGATGTTTTCTGTCAAATCTATTTCCCTGCACATTGAACCCGTTGCTCCCTTGTCTCTAGAGCAGCAGTTTTCCTCCTCCTCCTCCTCCTCCTCCTCCTCCTCCTCCTCGGGACACCCTTTGAAATCTTGAAACATGGTTCTCGTGTTCCCTCTCAACCATCTCCTTTCCCAGCTAAACATCCCCTAGGAGGAAAGGAGGAAGGAAAAAGAGAAGGGAGGGAGGAAGAGATGGGTGGAAGAAAGGAAGATAAGGGAAGGATTGAGAGAGAATGAATGAATGAATGAATGAATGAATGAATGAAGGAAGGAAGGAAGGAAGGAAGGGAGGGAGGGAGGGAGGGAGGGAGGGAGGGAAAGATGGAAGGAGGAAGAGGGAGGGAGGAAAGGAGGAAGGAAAGAGAGATTGAAAGGAAGGAGGGAGGGAGGGAAGGAGAAAGGAAGGAAAGGAAGGAAGGAGGGAGGGAAGGAGAAAGAGACAAAAGGAGGGAAGGAAGGAAGGAAGGGGAAGAGAAGGATGGATGAGAAGAGAAGAGAAGGGAGGGAGGGAGGAAAGAAGGGAGGAGGGAAGGAAGGGAAGGGAAGAGAAGGATGGATGGATGGATGGATGGATGGATGGATGGATGGATGGAAGGAAGGAAGGAAGGAAGGAAGGAAGGAGAAGGAAGGGAAGGAAAGAAGAGGAAGGAAAGGGATGAAGGGAAGGGAGGAAGGGAGAGAAAGGAAGGAAAGACAAAAGGAAGGAAAGAAGAAGGAAGGAAGGAAGGAAGGAAAGGAAAGGATGAATGGAAGAAGAGAAGGAGAGAGGAGAAGAAAGATGGAAGGAAGGGAGGGAAGAGAGGAGGATGGAGGGATGGATGAGAGAGGATGGTGGAAGGAAGGAAGGAAGGAAGGAAGAGAAGGGGAAGAAAGGGAGGAAGAGAAGGAAGGAGGAAGGGAGGAAGAGAAGGATGGAAGAAAGGGAGAAAGAGAGAGGGAAGGAGGGAGGAAATAGGGAAGGATGGAAGAATGAAAGGATGGAAGAGAAAGGAGGAGGGAGGGAGGGAGGGAGGGAAGGGGGAGGGGAGGTGAGGGAGGGATGGAGGAATGAATGAGAGAAGGAAGGAATTATAGGATGGAGATAGAGAGAGAGAGGAGGGCCTGAGACGAGGTGGATGATGGGTTTCCAACTTAAAGGATGAGGTGGATGATGGGTTTCCAACTGAGAAGTCTATGTGTGAAGAAACAGAGGATGTTTTGGAGTCCAATGTTTGTTCTTCAGCAACAGGGGAAAAGTCAATTTCTCATGGGAATCAGCCTTCAGCTGATGGGGAGTTTTCCCGTGATATCAGATTAGGTCTCTGCATGGAGGGAGTGAAGAATAGATTAATTAGGTGGTCAGAGAGACTCCGTAGGAAGTCCTTAAAGCCCAGGTGTATGAGGCATGACCTCATAGGTTCTTTGTCAGGCTTGGGCTTAAATTAAGTGGTGTCTCTCATAGGAGACAACATTGCCAAAAGGTTCAGGTTCCTGTTTCAGCTCTCAAGTCCCTGCTTTCCTTAATAAACTGCTGTAGTTAGTACTACTCGACTCTGGTGTGGTGTTGGGTGAAAAGGCGTCTCAAGGCTAGAGTGCAACAGAAGGCCACCTTTTTGAAACACCCTAACCAAAGTCATTGGAACTCTTCTTACATTATAGATGACAAAGGATAAGTTGCCAATGGAACGGTGGGGATGTAACCAATGGTGGGAGCTTGTGGTGAGACTGCAGTGTGCCAGAAGCCAGGCTGTCGTGATGGACGGCGGTTGACAGGTTTCTGTTGTGCTCCAAAGTCCTGAGCCAGGGTGTCCTCTCTTGGATGGCTTTGTCCTGAGATGGGAAATGAGAAAACATGATGTAAATCTGTCTCGCCGAGAACAAAGTCTTTGGGTTGTTGTGTGGTTTCCAGGCTGTATGGCTGTGTTCTAACAACAATTTCTCCTAACGTTTTGCCTGCATCTGTGGCTGACATCTTCGAAGTCTTTATTTATTTTTTTCATGCCAGGAGCAACTTGAGAAACTGCAAGTCAATTCTGGTGTGAAAGAACTGGCTGTCTGCAAAGACATTGCCCAGTGGACACCTGGATGTTTTACCATTCTGTGGGAGGCTTCTGTCATGTCCCTGCATGAGAAGCTGGAGCTGACAGATGGGAGCTCACCCCACTCCCCGGATTTCAACTACCAACATTTCGGTCAGCACTCCTGCCGGCACAAGGCTTTAAGCTATGGTGCCAGCGGGGGCTCCTAAGGGCTTTATTAACCAAAGGTTATCATAGTAGTGTTGAACTGCATTAATTCTACACTGTAGATACACCCTAAGTCTCAGAGAAAGGCAATGACAAATGCACACTGAAAAATCTTGCCTTAAGAGTCAGAAATGCTTTGAAGATACACAGTAACAATGTATTTGGGTGCAGCAGGTTAAACCGCTGAGCTGGTGAACTTGCTGAACCACGGGACAGGGTGAGCTCCTGCTATCAGCCCCAGCTCATGCCAACCAAGCAGTTCGAAAACATGCAAATTTGAGTAGAAAAATAGGTACTGCTTCTGTGGGAAGGTAAGCAACGCTTCATGCAGCCATGCCGGCCACATGACCTTGGAGGTGTCTGGACAACGCAGGCTCTTCATCTTAGAAATGGAGATGAGCAACACCCCCAGAGCCAGAGATAGAGGGGAAGCCTTTCCCTTTCCCTCATTGTTTCGAGGAATTGAATGTTTGCCTGGGTCTGTATATGCTGGAATCTGCTCTGAGTCCCCTCAGGGAGATAGGGTGTAATAAAAATAAAGTGTTGCTGTTGTTATTATTATTATTATTATTATTATTATTATTATTATTATTATTATATGTAGCCTGGCTTTTGTTCCCTTTGAATTGTTTGCTGCCTGGAGAAATCCTTAGCCCGGGTGGCGCTCACTGGCTCTTCCGTTCTTCCTGCCTGGAGACATCATCATCATCATCATCATCATCATTATGTAATGTACGTGCCCATGTGGACTGGGCTGTGGCGCAGCAAGTTAGTAGCCAGCTGCATTAAATCACTACTCACCGAGAAGTCATGTGTTCGAAGCCAGCCTGGGTCAGAGTGAGCTCCCGACCATTAATAGCCTAGCTTGCTGTTGACCTATGCAGCCCAAAAGACAGTTGTATCTGTCAAGTAGGAAATTTCGGTACCGCTTTATGCATAGAGGCTAATTTAATTAATTGACGACACCATAAAACCTTCCAGCATTGTGCATAAGAATGAGGAAGTACTTCATCAAGGACTCAGGTGTCACAAGTGGATGGTGAAAGCAACATCTCCCCTTGTGTGCTTGGAATTGAGCATACCCTCATGATGCTGGAAAGCTGGAATGTTAAATTGCCTCTGTGTCTGTCTATATATGTTGTATGTCTAATGGCATTGAATGTTTGCCATGTATATGTGCATGGTAATCCACCCTGAGTCCCCTGCGGGGTGAAAAGGGCGGAATATATATACTGTAAATATAAATAAATACATAAATGTGTGCATTCCCTCACCATGCACCACATTTGTTTTGTGCTTCCCAGTTTCCTTGCAGAAAAGGCATCTTGGTGCTTCTATTTTCTTCTGAGTTGTATGCTGAGAAGGTCCAAAGGGATCCCTTTGAGAATCACCACCTAAAACAAAAGGGGAAACTGCATTTGAGTCTAAAATGAGGCACTAAAGTTATTAGATCACCCCGGGAAAAAGCCATTTAAAACTGTCTTGAGTAGACTGCATTAGCTCTAATGACTTAGATATGGCAATCATGACTTTCTATGGGCGAGCAGATGAAGACTGGTAGATGCATATGTTCTGTATCTCAAGAAATAGAAATGGTAAGGGAAAATTGGTGCTGGTTTTGGAATCTTCATGTTAAATATACCCCAAAACAGGTCTAACATTTGATGCCCCAAAATGTGTGTTGGCCCATGTTAGGTGGCCCTCTTTCTCCTTCACCAGTATTGAAGAAAGCACTATCAATTTGGCTACAGTCCTAAAGACACTTATGGGAGAGTAACTGCCATCTCAGACAGAGTAAGAACAACTAGGATTGTGTTGTCTCATATTTATTAAGAAAAATTGCATTGGATGGACCACAACAGCTCTAGATGATTAAATATGGTTTAATATGGGTGAGCAGATGGCGACTACTGGATGCCATATGTTGTGTATCAGAAACTAGAGCTGATGTGGTCTATCCAATGCAGTTTTCTGAATCAGACTCCCAAAATAACCAAACCAAATCTAAAGTTGACCAAAAACACATCTGTAACTAAGGTTGATGAGTGGTCCCTGGTCAAAAAAGGTTGGGAACCACTGTTTTGGAGGCTACGAGAAGACAACTCCAGCGGAATTGGTACCTTCAGTCTCATCGCTGCCTGGGTCACTTGTGAGTACATTTCCAAGGTGTGACTGGGCTTCTTGGCAATGGGAACAGGAGGAAGTGCTGTTGATGATCCGTGGTTCTTGGGGCTCTGGGTTTGTAAAGGCATACGGCGTCCCTACAAAAGCAACCACAAAGAAACTCAAGCTTTGGATCCTACTTGGTAGTCTAACTAGAACAGACGCAATGAATCCATGGGATCTGTGTGTGTATTGATTTCCACTTCATAGGAAATCTGCTACAAAACAGGAGCTTTTTTGTTGAGTTCTAGGGTCAGAGAAGCAGATGGTGGAAACAGAAGAACGGCCTGCCTCAGAGGTAGCGTGCTTGCTCCATTAATGTTTAACATTTACACAAATGACCAGCTACTGCCAGAAGGGACAGAGAGTTTCATCTATGCTGATGATCATGCCATCACCGCTTAAGTAAGAAGCTTTGAAATGGTTGAACAGAAGCACTCCAAAGCTTTAGGTTCTCTTACTACCTATTACAGGGAAAACCAACTAATTCCAAATCCATCTAAAACACTAACATGTGCTTTCCTTCTTAAGAACAGACAAGCATCTCGAAGTCGAAGGATTACCTGGGGAGGAATCCCACTGGAGCACACCCAAATACCTGGGAGTCACTCTGGACCGTGCTCTGACTTAAAAAAAGCACCGTGACTAGCAAAACGTGGGTGCTAGAAATAATATCATACAAAAGCTGATGGGCACAACCTGGGGATCACAACCAGACACAGTGAAGACATCTTCCCTTGTGCTTTGTTACACTGCTGCTGAATACACATACCCAGGATGGAAGACATCTCACCATGTTAAAATAGTGGATGTTGCTCTTAATGAGACATGCCACATTATCACAGGATGTCTATGCCCAACACCGCTGGAGAAATTATACTGTTTAGCCGGTATTGCACCACCTGATATCTGCAGGGAAGTAGCAGCCAGCAATGAAAGTACATAGGCTTTGACATATCCTGCCCATCCTCTGTTTGGATATCAACCAGCATACCAACGCCTTAAATCAAGAAATAGCTTCCTAAGATCTAAAGAGAGACTCGCAAGAACACCTCAGCAAGCAAGAGCCCAAAAGTGGCAGGCTAAAACTTCTCTATGGTGGCCCCCTGACTCTGGAACTCACTCCCCAAGGATATCAGACAAGTCCCTACATTGACAGTCTTTAGGAGAAGCTTGAAAACGTGGCTGTTCCAGTGTGCCTTCCTTGAATAAAGGAAATAATGCCCTGATCTGACCAATTTTCTGCAATATGTCCTCTGAAGCACTTTATTTACCCGTTGGACTGATCTCCCTACATTACAATGAGTTTATATGCTGTACACCGCCGCGAGTCGCCCTAGGGCTGAGAGCGGCGGTCAATAAATGCACCAAATAAATAAATAAATAAATAAATAAATAAATTATACTAATTGTATTGTTTATTTTGCTTATTGTTGTTGTTTTATTGATGTGTTGTTGGGCTTGGCCTCATGTAAGCCGCTCCGAGTCCCTTGGGGAAATAGTGGCAGGGTATAAATAAAGTTTTTTATATTATTATTATTATTATTATTATTATTATTATTATTATTATTGTCATTATTATTACTCTCCAAAACCTCCCTGTTTAGACATACCTTACTTCTGTTCACACCCAGTATTTTTTTTACAAAAAAATTTAATCTACTACATCTGGCCCTGCCCATAGTCTTTTTTAATCTCTTATATCTTAGTTATAATATTTGTATTGTGTTTTACTTGCTTGTTTGCTTTGTTGTTTTACTGATGTATTTTTCTGGGCTTGGCCTCATGTAAGCCGGTCCCGAGTCCCCTTGGGGAGATGGTGGTGGGGTATAAATAAAGTTTTTATTATTATTATTATTATTATTATTATTATTATTGACACAAAAGCACAGTATGCCACAGCAAACGAGATCAATATGCTGGATTTTGTATCACAAAATCACAAGTCGAACACTTCCCAAGCATTATTATTATTATTATTATTATTATTATTAAACCTGGAACCTCAATCAGTGACCGATACTGGATGGAAGACTCCCTCCTGGGCACACAGGGTGACTTGGAAGGTGCTGAACAGACTGCACTCTGGCACCACGAGATATAGAGCCAACCTTAAGAAATGGGGCCACAACGTGGAGTCCACGACATGTGAGTGTGGAGAAGACCAATCCACAGACCAACTACTACAATGCGGTCTGCACCCTGCTGCATGCACAATGGAGGACCTTCTCACCGCGACACCAGAGGCACTCCAAATGGCCAGCTTCTGGTCAAAGGAAACTAGTTAGTGCCTGTCCATTGGAATTAACCATCCATTGGAATTAACCATGCTGGTTGAGTATGTTCGGAGCCATAGACCAAAAATGTCCACAGGGTTCAAGGTTCCCTGTGCATTCCACAGAAAGAGGGAGCTTCATCTCCCCTTTGCACCACGTATTCCCAACAAACAAACAATGAAACCAAACATTCAGCAGGATGGAAAATTGTTCCACCTTGCCTTGTTTACCCTGATGCTCCCTCTTGTATCCTTCCTAGAAAGCTCTCCACTGGAGAAGCAAAGATGTTTCTTCTTACCTGTATAAGGTCCTCGTAGAATGGTCTGCTTTGAGGGCTTCGTTTTAGAAGCAGAGGCTTCCTTTTGCTTTTGTTTATGGGACTTTGGCGAAGAGGAATTCAACTCAGATGAGGCTGGAAACAAGAAAGGAAGGGATGACGCAAGATCTGTGTCTCATTGGAGTTATGTCATCATTGCTCACTAACCAAACGCCAACCACATATCTGCTACTTACTGGGATTTTCCCGAGTCCCACTTTGGGGGAGTGATGTTCTCCTCAACCGCTCTTCTGAATTGATGGTTGGAGGTAGACTCTCAGATTCGACTGTGTTTTTCCCTGAGGTTTTCCTGAAGGTTGAAAGAGAAGGGATACATGAGGAATTATTTTATGCATCATATATCTCTTTTAAAAATTCTGCACAGAATTGTGGAAAGAATAGATCCATGTCTGATCCCACACCAAGCTGGTTTCAGGAAAGGGAAAAGCTGCACATCACAAGTGCTCAACCTGACTCAGCGCATAGAAGATAGTTTTGAAAGGCAGCAGATTACAGGAGCTGTCTTCATAGACCTGTCAGCAGTGTAAGGTTTCCCCCTGACATTAAGTCCAGTCTTGTCCAACTCCGAGGGTTGGTGCTCATCTCCATTTCTAAGTCAAAGAGCCAGCATTGTCCGTAGACACCTTGAAGGTCATGTGGCCGACATAAATGCATGGAGCGCCGTTACCTTCCAGCCAGACATTCAGCAGCATCTATTCATCTACTCACATTTGCATGTTTTCGAATTGTTAGCTTGGCAGAAGCTGGAGCTAACAGCGGGAGCTCACGCCGCTCCCCCGATTCGAACCTGCGACCTTTCGGTCAACAAGTTCAGCAGCTCAGTGCTTTAACCCGCTATGCCACCTAGGGCTCCATGATACTGTAAATCATCACCTTCTCGTGAGAACAATTTCTAATATCACAAAGGATTACTACCTCACCCACTTCATAGGAAATCTGCTACAAAACAGGAGCTTTTTTGTTGAGTTCCAGAGTCAGAGAAGCAGATGGTGAAAATAGAAGAATGGCCTGCTTCAGAGGAGCATGCTTGCTCCATCCATGTATAACATTTACACAAAGGTAATTGTGTTCCATGCGGTCATGCTGGCTACACGACCAGGAGATGTCTACAGACAATGCAGGCTTGGAAATGGGGATGAGCACCTACCCCAGAGCCGGAGATGAAAGGGGAATCATTTGCCTGTGTCTGTGTATTTGTTTCAATGTTTTAAAGGCATTTAATGTTTATCTGTATCTGTATATATATGCTAGAATCCGCCCTGACAACCACCTCACCTGCTTTATAGGAAATCTACTACCAAACAGGAGCTTTTTTGTTGAGTACCAGGGTCAGAGAAGCAGATGGTGAAAACATAAGAATGGCCTGTCTCAGGGAGCATATTTGTTCCATCCATGTATAACATTTACACACAGGTAAATGGTGCTCCATGCGGTCATGCTGGCCATACGACCAGGAGATGTCTACAGACAATGCAGGCTTGGAAATGGAGATGAGCACCTCCCCCCAGAGCTGGAGACAAGCACCGTCTCCAGAGTCGGAGATGAAAGGGGAAGCCTTTGCCTGTGTCTGTGTATTTATTTCATTGTTTCAAAGGCACGGAATATTTCTCTGTATCTGTATATATATGCTGGAATCCGCCCTGACTACCACCTCACCTGTTTCATAGAAACTCTGCTACCAAACAGGAGCTTTTTTGTTGAGTTCCAGGGCCAGAGAAGCAGAGGGTGAAACAGAACGGCCTGCCTCAGGGGAGCATGCTTGCTCCAGCCATGTTTAATATTTACACAAAAGTAAATGGTGCTCCATGTGGTCATGCTGGCCACGCAACCAGATGTCTACAGACAATGCAGGCTTGGAAATGGAGATGAGCACCTCCCTGAGAGCCGGAGATGAAAGGGGAAGCATTTGCCTTTGTCTGTGTATTTGTTTCATTGTTTAAAAGGCACTGAATATTTCTCTGTACCTGTATATATATGCTGGAATCCACCCTGATTACCACCTCACCTGTTTCATAGGAAATCTGCTACCAAACAGGAGCTTTTTTGTTGAGTTCCAGGTCCAGAGAAGCAGATGGCGGAAACAGAAGAACGGCCTGCCTCAGGGGAGCATGCTTGCTCCATCCATGTTTAATATTTACACAAAGGTAAATGGTGCCCCATGTGGTCATGCTGGCCACACGACCAGGAGGTGTCTACAGACAACGCAGGCTTGGAAATGGAGATGAGTACCTCCCCCCAGAGCGGGAGACGAGCACCGCCTCCAGAGCCGGAGATGTAAGGGGAAGGGGAAGCCTTTGCCTTTGTCTGTGTATTTGTTTCATTGTTTCAAAGGCATTGAATGCTTGTCTGTGTCTGTATGTATATATGCTAGAATCTGCCCTGACTACCACCTCACCCGCTTTATAGGAAATCTACTACCAAACAGGAGCTTTTTTGTTGAGTTCCAGGGTCAGAGAAGCAGATGGTGAAAACAGAACAGCCTGCCTCAGGGAAGCATGCTTGCTCCATCCATGTTTAATATTTACAAAAAGGTAAATGGCGCTCCATGTGGTCATGCTGGCCACACGACCAGGAGGTGTCTACAGACAACGCAGGCTTGGAAATGGAGATGAACACCTCCCCCAGAGCCGGAGATGAAAGGGGAAGCCTTTGCCTTTGTCTGTGTATTTGTTTCATTGTTTCAAAGGCATTGAATGTTTGTCTGTGTCTTTATATATATGCTGGAATCTGCCCTGACTACCACCTCACCTGTTTCATAGGAAATCTGCTACCAAACAGGAGCTTTTCTGTTGAGTTCTAGGGCTAGAGCTTGAGGATCAGACTTTGGCAATAGAGCTGGCTATTACTTACTGAACTGGTTTGGTCCTTGTGGAGAAGCAGGCCATGGCTTGGAGCGGCGCCTGGAGTTTAGAGGAGCGTGGGGAGGAGAAGTGCTTTGGGTAGCCATAGGACCCATGGAGGGTCTCGTCCAGACTTTGCCGCAGGTGTGAAACTTCGTTCTGCAAAGCCGTGATCGCTTGGCTGGAGTCAGGAACAAAACAAGACAGAATCGATCAAAAGGAGTCTTCTCAAGGAAGCAGCAAGCAGCCAGGCCTTGAAGCTGCAATGCTAATCAAGGTGGCCATCTGCAACATTCACAACTGCCTCAAGCAGACTTCTTTTTCCCATTCTGGACACTATTCCACAGATATATAAACCCAACTTGCTAAGTTTCCAACAGACCTCAAAACATCTGAGGATACCTGCCATAGATGTGGGCGAAACGTTAGGAGAGAATGCTCCTGGAACATGGCCATACAGCCTGAAAAACTCACATCAACCCAATAATAATAATAATAATAATAATAATAATAATAATAATAATAATAATAATGTGCAGCATGCACATAACTTTTCTATTATTTACAAGGTCTTTTAGTTATATTGATGGGACAACATATGTGTGTTTGCTGGAAGACAGATGGGTTTCTTCCCCTATAATCCCAAATCTAGGTCCTTAAAATCGCATTCTCTTCCACCTCCATTCAGGCATGATTGCATTTGCCTGAGGCAAACCTACCACAGGGTTTTCTTGGCAAGGTTTAATAAGCCGAGGCTTGCCATTGCCTTCCTCTGATGTGGAGAGAATACGACTCGTCCAAGGTCGCCTACCTGGCGAGACACTCATGATGCCCCCCAAATACGTCCGTCTTCCCACCCATCCCATGCATCTCTTCCATTCCCTGGGCACACTTACTCTCGTTTCAAGCGAGAGTCAAGAAGACTGTCGTCGTAGGTCAGAGAGGAGGAACTGGGAGACCCAGAGCGCTTCAACTCATTCGGCGGGGGGGTGCATGTGCCACGTTCACCAGGTGGTTCCATCTCAGGCTCTGAGTTGGTGTGAGCTGGCGACAAGGGAGACAAAACAGAAAAATACCTTAGGATGAACCTCATGCAGGGACATTTAGCTCTTTTACCAGACCTAAATTGATTTTGTCATTTGGGAGTTGTAGTTGCTGGGATTTATAGTTCACCTACAAAGGGCATTCTGAACTCCACTAACAATGGAATTGAAGCAAACTTGGCACACGGGACTTCCAAGACCCGCAGAAAACGGTAGAAGGGGCACTTTTTAAAGGAAATCAACTCACAGCTCTCGGTGCCTGGCTCCATCTCACTTGCAATGTTGTTTGTCCGCTGCCGAATGGAGCGAGTACCGAACGGGCCTCTTTTGCAAAGGCTTCGTCTCTGGGGACCATCCTCCGAAGATCGGTCCCTCATTGAGACATTTGCTCTTAGCGGTTCCATCACGATGGGTCTCTTCCACTGAGGAGCTGGTTGCTGGGCTCCATCCTGCGGAGCCGATTCTCCCATAACCCCATGGGACCTGGACAAAAGACAGATTGAGTGGCATGGGTCTGAAGGCTTTGGCTCCGTTGGGGGTTTGGTGCCCATTGCCTTCCATAACATAACTTCCAAAATTCTATTTATTCATTTATTTACAGTATTTATAGTCCACCCTTCTCACCCTGCAGGGGACTCAGTACATATGTACATGGCAAACATTCAATGCCATAGACACACAACATATATAGACAGACAGACAGAGGCTATTTAACATTCCAGCTTTTTCATGAGGGTATTTTGGCCACCAGGGGAGCTGTTTCTTCACCGTCCATTTGTGACACTGATGAAGTACTCCCTCATTCTTTGCATGCTTGCTGGAGATTTTTATGGCGTCGTAAATAAGCCTCCCCGCATAAGCAGTACCTAAATTTCCCCAGTGTGAGGTAGGCCTCAGTGTGAGAGGGGCTTCAGCCTGAGAGAGCCCTCAGTGGAAGAAAGGCCTCAGTGTGAGGTAGGCCTCAGAGTGAGAGAGGCTTCAGCCTGAGAGAGCTCTCAGTGTGAGAAGGCCTCAGTGTGAGAGGCTTCAGCCTGAGAGAGCCCTCAGTGTGAGAAGGCCTCAGTGTGAGGTAGGCTTCAGCCTGAGAGAGCCCTCAGTGTGAGGTAGGCCTCAGCCTGAGAGAGCCCTCAGTGGGAGAAAGGCCTCAGTGTGAGGTAGGCCTTAGTGTGAGAGAGGCTTCAGCCTGAGAGAGCCCTCAGTGGGAGAAAGGCCTCAATGTGAGGTAGGCTTCAGCCTGAGAAAGCCCTCAGTGGGAGAAAGGCCTTAGTGTGAGGTAGGCCTCAGTGTGAGAGAGGCTTCAGCCTGAGAGAGCAACTGTATTTCGGGCTGCAAAGGTCGACAGCAAACTATACAAATTGGTCGGAAGTGATCTTAATGCAGCTGACTCCCAGCCAGCTGCGCTGTCGCTTCATCGTCCATTTGTGACACCGATGAAGTATTTCCTCATTCTTTGCATGCTTGCTAGAGATTTTTATGAGGTCAAAAATAAGCCTCCCTGCATAAGCAGTACCTAAATTTCCTCAGTGTGAGGTAGGCCTCAGTGTGAGAGGGGCTTCAGCCTGAGAGAGCCCTCAGTGTGAGAAGGCCTCAGTGTGCGGTAGGTCTCAATGTGAGATAGGCCTCAGTGTGAGGTAGGCTTCAACCTGAGAGAGCCCTCAGTGGGAGAAAGGCCTTAGTGTGAGGTAGGCCTCAGTGTGAGAAGGGCTTCAGCCTGAGAGAGCAACTGTCTTTCGGGCTGCGAAGGTCGACAGCAAACTACACAAATTGGTCGAAAGTGATCTTAATGCAGCTGACTCCCAGCCAGCTGCGCTGTCGCTTCACCGTCCATTTGTGACACCGATGAAGTATTTCCTCATTCTTTGCATGCTTGCTGGAGATTTTTATGGCGTTGTAAATTAGCCTCCCCGCATGAGCATTACCTAAATTTCCTACTTGACAGATGCAACTGTCTTTCGGACTGCAAAGGTCGACAGCAAGCTACACAAATTGGTTGGAAGCTCACTCAACCCAGGCTCGCTTCGTYCTCATGACTTTTTGGTCAGTGGTGATCTTAATGCAGCTGACTCCCAGCCAGCTGCGCCACAGTTTGGAYGGAAGAGCAATTTGTCAATTACACTGTGTAACAAAATTTGAAGGAATGACAGGCAAGACAGACGGAGATGTGAAGGTATCCTACCTCAAATGGGATGAGCGTTGCTTAGGCCTCTGTGCCAAGGGGGACACCCTGCTTGCTTCAGATCCCACAAATCCACTATCCGTCTCTGGGGACACAATGCGGAGATCCTGCAGCAGAAAAAGAGACAGACGCAGGGTCACCATAAATTAGAAGCAATTTGGAAGGCACATAACAACAAGAACAACAACAACAACAACAACAATTATTGTTATGATTATTATTTATACTCCTATTTGGAGGTCCCAAAATAACCCTCTGTTGTCTATTCTGAGAATGGTGGAGAAATTAGTTAATTCTAAGTATAATATTAATCATTTATGATGATGATGATGATGATRATRATRATAATRATAATAATAATAATAATAATAATAATAATAATGCACTTTATTTATATTCTGTTGTCTTTCTCCGAGGGCACTCCGAGCAGATTACAACATATACAGATAACCAAACATTCAATGCCTCTGACATTAAGTCCAGTCATGTCCAACTCTGGGGTTGGTGCTCATCATTCTAAGACGAAGAGCCGGCATTGTCCATAGACACCTCCAAGGTCATGTGGCCAGCATGACTGCATGGAGCGCCGTTACCTTCCTGCTGGAGTGATACCTATTGATCTACTCACATTTGCATGCTTTCGAACTGCTAGGTTGGCAGAAGCTGGGCCTGACAGTGGGAGCTCACGTCGCTCCCCAGATTCGAACCTGTGACCTTTCGGTCAACAAGTTCAGCAGCTCAGTGGTTTAACCCACTGCACCACCGTGGGCTCCTCAATGCCTTTAATACAGTGAAATAACAACAATATACAAATACACAGGTCAAAGGCAAAGGCTTCCCCTTTCATCTCCGGTTTTTTAGAGTCAGTGCTCAACTCCGGCCATGGGGAGGTGCTCTTTCTCCATTTCCAACCTGAAGACTGTTGTCCGTAGACACCTCCTGGTTGTGTATCCAGGAGGGGGAGAGAAGAGTGGGCGGAGCTATACTGTACATATACAGTATAGCGTCCCTACATTGCGGTTGTTCACTTATCACGGGGGTTCCTAGAACAGAACCCCTGCGATAGGTGAGGGAACACTGCGCTCACATTTGCATATTTTTGAATTGCTAGGTCAGCAGGAGCTAAGGCTAACAGTGGGAGTTCACCCCAACCCGCAGCTTCAAACTGCCAACCTTCAGATCAGCAGATTCAACAGTTCAACGGTTTAACCTATTGTGCCACCGCAAACCCTTATTGTTTATTATTATTGTTGTTTATTGTTTATTATTATTTGAAACACAACAAGATGAGTCCACAGCAGACACTCTGCTGGCTGTTGTATTGGATCACACGTCAGACACTTCCCAAGTGTCTAGGACTGTGTGATGTATTGGTGAATAATGCCTGCAGATCCCAATAGGGTGGCCTTCTGCAGCTGGCAGATAGTAATTTTGTCAGCATCGATTGTGTTTAAGTGCAGGCCAAGGTCTTTAGGCACTGCACCCAGTGTGCCGATCACCACTGGCACCACCTTGACTGGTTTGTGCCAGAGCCTTTGCAGTTCGATTTTTAAATCCTCATATCGTGTCAGCTTTTCCAGTTGGTTCTCTGCAATCCTGCTGTCACCTGGGATTGCGACATTGACGATCCATACTTTGTTTTTTAACACGATTGTGAGGTCAGGAGTATTATGCTCCAAAATTCTGAATTCAGAAGTCCCAGAATAGTTTAACGTGTTCATTCTCTGTAACTTTTTCCGGCTTGTGATCCCACCAGTTCTTTGTCGCAGGCAGATGGTATTTGTGGCACAAGTTCCAATGAATCATCTGAGCAACGGGGTTATGCCTCTGCTTGTAGTCTGTCTGCGCGATCTTCTTGCAGCAGCTGAGGATGTGATCTAGTGTTTCATCTGCTTCCTTGCAGAGTCTACGTTTGGGATCTGTTGTCGCCTTTTCAATTCTGGCTTTGATGGCATTGGTTCACATGGCTTGTTCTTGGGCTGAATGGCTTGTTGTTGTTGTTGTTGTTATTATTATATATTTTGCATTCCCTGCCAAATAATGCAGGCAGCTCACCGACTATAACTACAATCAATCAGGGCCGTAGCCAGAAAAAAATTGTTCTTGGGCTGAATGGCTTGTTGTTGTTGTTGTTGTTGTTGTTGTTGTTATTATTATATCTTTTGCATTCCCTGCCAAATAATGCAGGTGGTTCACCGACTACAATTATAACCAATCAGGGCTGTAGCCAGAAAAAAAAAGTTCTTGGGCTGAATGGCTTGTTGTTGTTGTTGTTGTTGTTATTATTATATCTTTTGCATTCCCTGTCAAATAATGCAGGCAGCTCACCGACTACAACTACAACCAATCAGGGCTGTAGCCAGAAAAACAATTGTTCTTGGGCTGAATGGCTTTTTATTGTTGTTGTTGTTGTTGTTGTTATTATTATTATTGTTGTTGTTGTATCTTTTGCATTCCCTGCCAAATAATGCAGGTGGCTCACCGACTACAGCTACAACCAATCAGGGCTGTAGCCAGAAAAAATATTGTTCTTGGGCTGAATGGCTTGTTGTTGTTGTTGCTATTATTATTATTATTATTATTATTATTATTATTATTATTATTATCTTTTGCATTCCCTGCCAAATAATGCAGGCGGCTCACCAACTACAACTACAACCAATCAGGGCTGTAGCCAGAAAAAAAATTCGGGGGGACGGGGGGACGGGACTATTTTTAGCAAATCATGAAGAGTAATTCAATAGCACAACATTTTTAATACAGTCCAAAGACTCTTATTGCTCTGTAAAAGGTATAAGATACAAGGTATGCATGGTTAGTAACAGGTCTGACAACCATACTATAGTATTAAGCCACTACAATCAAAGTGGTGTTAAGCTGCATTAATTCAACAGCGTCAATCCAACCCAAGTGGCACTCACCTCTGACAATGCCGTATTGGTCTTCTGGAAGGGCTGCATCCCGGGGATGCGTTCGGAAAGAGCGCTGCCTGCAACACTGACCATGCTGCTATGTGGCGAAAGCTGCCCCTGCGGCCCTTTGGAGGAAACCTTCTTGCGGATGGCACACGAGGCCCTGCTCTTCTCAGTGGATTCCTCTTGCATTGCCAACGTCCCCACCTGAGATATGGGTCCATGCCCAATTTGGTAAGTTGGCTTCCGGGGGTTTCTTGGAAGCGGATGGAGTTGTGTGCTCTGTTGAGTCTCCCTATTAGAAGTGGTAGAGAAAACATCAACATTGTTAGTTGTCATGATTCCTTCCTTTCACAACCTGTCCATGAATCTAGGCATCTGTTTCCCAACTTTCCTGGATATCTTGCTCCAGGAGCCCCGGGTGGTGCAGTGGGTTAAACCCCTGTGCTGGCAGGACTGAAGACCGATAGGTCACGGGTTCGAATCTGGGGAGATGCCGATGAGCTCCCTCTATCAGCTCCAGCTGCTCATGCAGGGACATGAGAGAAGTCTCCCACAAGGATGATAAAAACATCAAATCATTCGGGCATCCCCTGGGCAATGTCCTTGCAGACGGCCAATTCTGTCACACCAGAAGCGACTTGCAGTTTCTGACATGACAAAAAAAAATCTTGCTCCAGGAGAGCACCACAAATATGTCTAAGAGCCCTGCCAATGTCCTCCACAAACACCATACCGATGGATCTGGACCAAACTTGGCACACATATCTGATGTATTGAAATTTGATTACTGGAAGAGATTGGAGGGACCTGACCTTCCTTTCTGGGAGTTTTAGTTCACACACAACCAGAGAAACAGTGACCTCCACTGATGATGGACCACAACCAAACTTCGCACACAGAACCCCCATGACTAACTCAATCTACTGAAAGGGTTGGAGGGACTGATTCATCAGAGTGGGAGTTGTAGTGTACTCTACAGCCAGAGAGCAGACTGAACCCCACCGATAATGTGTCTAGAGCAAACTTCCCCAACATAACAAGCTTAAAGTCCTGATGGAGTTTTTTGGGGTAAACCTGGCATGATGTAATTCATCCACAACTTTATGCATTCTGTACAATTAAAAAAATGACTTTTTACATTATCCGGGCAATGCCGAGTATTCAAGCTAATCTATATAAATAAAAATGTAATGTTAGTTTGTGGGATTAACATAACTCAAAAACTACTGGACGAATTGACACCAAATTTGGACACAAGACACCTATAAGGCCAACGAGTGATCATCTGAAAAACTCTGAAAAACACAGCAAAAGAGACTTAAAAAGCAACACCCCCCCCCCATCCAAAATACATTACACGCATGCACAAAACCACATATTTACACAAACACATATATACACAGTGGGCCACAGCAACGTGTGGCAGGGAACGTCTAGTAAAAGTATAGAAATAATACTAGAGCGATCCCTCAATACAAAAACACACACACACACATATACACACACATATATACACACACAAAACACATAAACACAGACTGGGCCACAGCAACGAATGGCAGGGAATGGCTAGTAAAAGTACAGAAATAATATTAGAGCGATCCCTCAGTACACAAATATATACACACACACATATATATACACACAAAGCACATATACACAGACTGGGCCACAGCAACGTGCGGCAGGGAACGGCTAGTAAAAGTATAGAACTAATACTAAAGCAGTGGTTCTCAACTTTCCTAATGCCGTGACCCCTTAGTACAGGTCCTCATGTTGGGGTGACCCCCAACCATAATGTTATTTTCGTTGCTACTTCACAATTGTAATTTTGCTCCTGTTATGATTCGTAATCTAAATATCTGATATGCAGGATGTATTTTCAGTCACTGGACCAAATTTGGCACAAATAACCAATACGCCCAAATTTGAATACTGGTTGAGGGTTATTGAGTTGCTGGGATTTATAGTTCACTTAAAACCAAAGAGCCTTCTGAACTCCACCAATGAATTGAATTGAATCAAACTTGGAACACAGAATTCCCATGACCAAGAGAAAAAACTGGGAAGGTCTGGTGGACATTGACCTTGAGTTGTAGTTGGAGTTGTAGTTCACCTACATCCAGAGAACACCGTGGACTCAAGCAACGATGGATCTGGATCAAACTTGGCACAAATACTCAATATGCCCAAATGTGAACAGTGGTAGAGTTTGGAGAAAATAGACCTTGCCATTTGGGAGTTGTAATTGTTGGGATTTATAGTTCACCCACAATGAAATAGCATTCTGAACCCCACCAATAGAATTGGACCAAACTTTCCACACAGAGCCCCCATGACCAACAGAAAATACTATGTTTTCTGATGGTCTTTGGTGACCCCTCTGACACCCCCTCGCGACCCCCTCGGGGGTCCCGACCCCCAGGTTGAGAAACACTGTACTAGAGCAATCCCTCAATACAAAAATATATATACACATATATATACACACAAAACACATATACACAGACTGGGCCATAGCAACATGTGGCAGGGAATGGCTAGTAAAAGTATAGAAATAATACTAGAACGATCCCTCAATACAAATATATATATACACAAACATATACACATATATACACACACAAAACAYATATACACAGACTGGGCCATAGCAACGTGTGGCAGGGAATGGCTAGTAAAAGTATAGAAATAATACTAGAACGATCCCTCAATACAAATATATATATACACAAACATATACACATATATATACACACAAAACATATATACACAGACTGGGCCAAAGCAACGTATGGCAGGGGTTTTATACAAAAAGACGAAGGGGATTAGGCAGCCCGTGCCAATCACGATAGAAGACGCAAAGGAGAAAATCAGTCTGATGCAGTTGGCAAGAAGAAAATAAATTCATACTATCTCTCCTTCTCCCTCCTTCCCGGCTCTTAAGATCCCAGCTGAGTCTCCATTTCCTTCCGGCTAAATTCTTCTCTCCTTCCACCCAATCTGTTGCTTTCAGTCCCACCCATCTCCATTCCCACACGGTTCCTCTCCACACAACTTTGCAGCCCTCCAAGCAGGGTCTGAAACAGCCATCCAAAAGGGCCCTTTGTCCGATTCTGGGAAATGAAAAGAAAGCAAAAGGCAAAGGCGCTCTTGTTTCGCAGCCGGGGAGAACAAGTACAGCTTTTTCCAAAAGGCAAACTCTGCTTCTAATTTTAGTCACGTTCCCGAGTGCCCAAGGCATGATTTGTACTGGGGAAAGGCTCCGGACAATATCTGTGAGCTAGGGATGTGCGATCCATTAGAAAAAATGGTTCAAAAGATGTTACAAAACTGGGGAGTGCTGACATTTTGTTTCTAAAGTGTTTCTAAAGTACAGTCAGTGAAAAATGAGTAACTATAATGAAAATAACTAAGTTTTGTTACTATTTTGTTACAGTAATCCACATAAATAAAAATGTAATGTTCGTTTGTGAGATTAACATAACTCATAAACTACTGGATGACACCAAATTTGGACATAATACACCTAACAACCCAATGTATGGCCTTCACTCAAAATTTTGATTTTGTCTTTTGGGAGTTGTAGTTTCTGGTTCACCTACAATTAAATAGGATGATAGAATTGAACCAGCCGGGGCATACAGGACTCCCATGAACAACAGAAAACACTAGAAAGGTTTAGTGAGCATTGACCTTTATTTTGGGAATTGTAGTTCATCTACATCCAGAGACTACCATGGACTCAAACAATGATGGATCTGGACCAAACTTGGTACGAATATTCCATATGCCCAAATATGAACACAGATGGAGTTTGGGGGAAATAGACCTTGACATTTGGGAGTTGTAGTTACCAGGATTTATAGTTCACCAGTATGCTGATGACAATGTTGTCTGTGCACATTCAGAAGAAGACCTACAAGCCACTCTAAACACCTTCACAGAAGCATACAAGAAGCTCGGCCTATCATTAATCATCGAGAAAACCAAAGTGCTCTTCCAGCAGTCACCAGCCAATCCCTCTCCAATGTCAGAAATATAACTCAATGGTGTAACATTAGAAAATGTTGATGATTTCTGCTCCCTTGGCAGCCACCTCTCCACAAAAGTCAACACTGACACTGAAATTCAACACTGCCTGAGTTCTGCGAGTGCAGCATTTTTCCAAATGGAGCAGAGAGTGTTTGAGGACCGGGACATCCATAAGGATACCAAGGTGCTTGTTTATAAAGCTATTGTCCTCCCAAGACTGCTATATACCTGCGAGATGTGGACTGTCTACATCATACGCAACTCCTGGAACAATTCTATTGGTGCTGCCTCTTAAAAACCCTGCAAATCTCTTGGGAAGACAAGCAGACAAATGTCAGAGTGCTGGAAGAAGCAAAGACCACCAGCATTGAAGCGATGGTCCTCCGCCATCAACTCTGCTGGACCGGCCATGTTGTCTGAATGCCCGACCACTGTCTCCCAAAGCAGTTGCTCTATTCCGAACTCAAGAATGGAAAACAGAATGTTGGAGGACAGGAAAAGAGATTTAAAGACCTGCTCAAAGTCAACCTTAAAATCTCTGGCATAGACACTGAGAACTGGGAAGCCCTGGCCCTTGAGCGCTCCAATTGGAGGTCAGCTGTGACCAGCAGTGCTGTAGAATTTGAAGAGGCACGAATGGAGGGCGAAAGAGAGAAACGTGCCAAGAGGAAGGTGCGTCAAGTCAACCCCGACTGGGACCGCCTTCCACCTGGAAACTGATGCCCTCACTGTGGGAGAAGATGCAGATCAAGAATAGGGCTCCACAGTCACCTACGGACCCACCGCCAGGACACTTGGAGGACCATCATCCTCGGACTACAAGGGATTGCCTAAGAAGAAGATTAGACTGACTCTAAACGGCTGGCTGGCTGCTGCAGCCTTCATTGGGGCTTTCGAACAAATCGAACAAACTGTGGCTCACAATACAGTGTTTTCTCCCATCAGGACTCACTTCATGGAGGAAGAGGACGGGATGCGAGGGGCCTTCTTAGCTTTAGGCGCTGTCTGGAAGGAGTGCTTTTTGGTCCCAGGATTTGTAGCATCCGTTGCACCATCCATTTCTTCCAGCGAGGAATGATGCTCACCCGAATCTAGCCGTTCCAAACTCAGGGCTGCTGGCAATGACTTGAAGCTGTTGTAGCTGGAAGCAAAAACAAAGGCTGAGCAAACCGGCACAAAAGTGTGAAGACGATGCTGTAGTTTCCTTTTGCCTGAACTGACTGGGAAGACCAAGTCTGCTATCCTCACCCTGACTGCAAACTAGTTTGCCGTAAAGAAAGGAAGCCGACCACAAAGAGAGAAAGTGGAAGGAGGAGGGAAAAACTAAGACATTCTATAAGGAGCTGATAGATGATTATATGAGATAATCCATTTCATATCTGGATAGTTCACAGTATACAGTACTTTGGGGGATACAAGGGCTAAATGTCTGTCTGTACATACAAATGTCAAAGGTTTTGTGTATATATATGTGTGTGTGTGTCTATATAAATAAAAATATAATGTTCATTTGTGGGATTAACATAACTCAAAAACCACTGGACGAATCAACGTCAAATTTGGACACAAGACACCTATCAGGCCAACAAGTGACCATCACTCATAAAAACACAGAAAAACACAGCAGAAGGGACTTAAAAGCAAAAAAATATATTTAAAAATGCATTACAACGCATGCATAAAACTATATATATATATATATATATATGCGCAAATACACATATATACACATATACATAAATATATCTGAGAATTTTTGGACTTGCACAAATCTTGGCCCGGCCTTTTAAATTTTTTAATTGCCTTGAATAGGCAGGATTACTTTTAATATATGTGTGTTGTGGCGACAATTTTTATGCTTATATTTTGTTTTGTTAAACTTATGGTTATGTTGTTTTTACTCTGTATGTTTTGTGATGTTACCTGGGAACTGCTCTGGTTCCCCTCGGGGAAATGGAGCGGTATATAAATAAAGTATTATTATTATTATTATTATTATATATACACACACATATACACAGTGTTGTGATGGAGTCTTCAAGTAGTGATACTACTGGGAGTATTAGGAGGGGAAGAAACACACAAAGCACATATACACAGACTGGGCCACAGTAACGTGTGACAGGGGGTAGCTAGTGTATATATATGTATGTGTGTGTGTGTTGGACTGGGCTTTAGCACAGCAAGTTAAGCGCCAGCTGCAGTAAATCTTGCCAACAGAAAGGTTGATAGTGCGAAGCCTGGATTGGGGTAAGCTCCTGGCCTTTAGCCTAGCTTCTGCCTACCTAGCAGTTTCAAAAACAGCAACATGTGTAGATGAATAGGTACCGCTCAGGCAGGGAGGTATTTAGGCACCTAAAAGGAAATACCAGAAATAATAATAATAATACTTTATTTATACCCCGCTACCATCTCCCCAAGGGACTCGGTGCGGCTTACATGAGGCCGAGCCCATAGAATAACAATAATAAAAGCAATAACAAAATAATCAATATAAAACAACCAAAATAAATCTCATAAACAAAAAATAAACAGTAACAGTAGCACCGGGATTGTGGCGCAGCTGGCTGAGTGCCAGCTGCATTAAAATCATTCTGACCAAAAAGGTCATGAGTTCAAAGCCAGCCCGGGTTGGAGTGGGTTTCCAACCAATTGTGTGTAGCCTGTTGTCGACCTTTGCAACCCGAAAGACAGTTGCATCTGTCAAGTAGGAAAATAAGGTACCACCTTAAAGTGTGGGGAGGCTAAATTAACTGATTTATGAGGCCATAAAGAAGACTCCAGCAAAACATTCCAGCAGGGAAGCATGCGGGGAATGCGGAAGTACTTCATCAGCGTCGCAGATGGACGATGAAAGCGACAGTTCCCTGGCGGCCAGAAAAAGTTAATAGCCTCTGTCTATGTCCGTATATGTTTGTATGTCAAAAAATGGCATTGAATGTTTGCCATATATGTGTACACCGTAATCCGCCCTGAGTCCCCTGCGGGGTGAGAAGGGCGGAATATAAATATTGTAAATAAATAAATAAATAAATAGTAACAACAAGCATTTAAAAACCTATGGTTGGGCCAAATGTGATAATTAAAAATTAAAAAATAATGCTGGGCATGAACAAGGTAATATACTGGGATATAATTTTTGGCAAGAGATGGGGCCAGCAAACAATCCTAAATCAATGATAAAGTGCATTTAGAGGACCTATTGCTGAGAGTATTTCCTTATTCTGGGAAGGCACACTGGAACAACTACGTTTTCAGGCTCCTCCTAAAGACTGCCAAAGTTGGGGCATGTCTGATGTCCTTGGGCAGTGAGTTCCAGAGTCAAGGGGCCACTACCGAGAAGACCCTCTCCCTCGTCCCCACCAATCGCGCCTGCGATAGAGGTGGGAGCGCGAGCAGGGCCTCTCCAGATGATCGAAGGGGTCATGTGGGTTCGTACACAGAAATGCGGTCACGCATGTAGGCAGAAAGATGCCAGCGATTCAATCAAGGAGGAAGTTTACAAACAAAGCTCTTGGGGTAGGGAAGATGGTGCAGCAGCACCCCCCTGTGACCAGAACTGAGCACAGACTCCAAGATGCTGAAGATAGGAAAGCCTATATATACCTCTATCTATGTACAGTTGTCTGTCCTCTCAGTGTATAACAGCATTGAATATTTACCACAGATGTAAATGAACAAAAGTACTCTATGGCTTGGACCAACATATACCGTAAATCAGTTCTTCTCCAAGATGGTTCACTTACTGTCCCAGGAGGTGGTCAAAGTCCTTCTCCACCTGGAGCTGCATATGGCGAAGAGGCTCCGGAAGGCCTTCTTCGGACATCTCGTCGCTGACTGAGCTCACCTCCACATCCACTTGGACTCGGTAGCGGCCCTTTTCCAAGTTGGAGACCTGAAGAGCAAACAGCGTAGAGAACAATTGATCCTCCAGGTGTGTTGGACCACAACTCCCACCATCCTTGAGTGCTACCATATTAGCCAATGGTGGTATAAGGTGAGACTTCTGCAATGCCAAAGGTCATTCATCCCTGGCTTAGAGAATATTCTGAATGTTCAACTAGAGTCAGTCTTCAACGCTAATGGAAAGAATTGGGGAAACATACACTGGAGGAAACTGGAGGATCTAATGCAATTATTGGAAAAGATTGGTCAGAACTGATGCTCGTTTGCAAACTGCTCATCATTACAATATTAACATGAGAGCCCCTTCTCTGGATATGTACAAAAGGTGGATTATAGGACTTGTAGTAGGAAAACTAACTGCTTCTAGTGCAAACATGGCATTGCAATTAACCTCAGGATATGGCATGCGGACAGCCGGGATCGGAGCATGGAGAGATGGAGTTGGTGACCCCATCTGTGCCTCTGGATTCTGTTCTGGAATATGGGTGGAAGAGACAATGGTTGGCCCTGGGTTGCTCTGGTTGAAGGCAGCCTGTCCCAGTCTCTCCTTCAGCTCTTCCAAGCGCATCTCCAGATGGAATATCTCTCCTTCCACCACACTAGAAAACATGCCAAGAAGACCAAAAGAGAGGAGTTAAGGGTGGAGAGTTTCCCAGAGATAAATCACAAAGTGGTTTAAGATGGAACTATTATTACGATTTTACATTTGGTGACAAGCTACATTAAGTCTACGGTGTAGATAAGGTATTGGCAAGCCCAGGCCCGAGGGCCGGATGTAGTCCCTTGGGCTCTTTTCTCAGGCTCTCCTCTCTCTCACCATCCTTTCTTCCTTCTCTCTTTACTTCCTCCTTCCCTTGATCCATTCCCTCCTTTCTCCCTCTGTCCTTCCTTCCCTTCCACCCTTTCGTCCTTCCTCCCTTCCCTCCCTCTTTCTCCTCCCTTCCTTCCTTCCCTTTTGTCTTTCCTTCCTTCCCTTTTGTCTTTCCTTCCTTCCCCTTCCCTCCTCTTCTTCCCCTCCCTCCCTCTATTCTCTTCCACCCTTTTGTCCTTCCTTCCTTTTCTATTTCCTTCCTTTTCCCCTTCCTGTCTTTCTCCCTTCCTTCCTTCTCCTTCCTCCTTCCCTTTCTTTCCTTCCACCCTTCCCCTCCACTCTTTCGTCCTTCCTTCTTTGCTTCTTGTTTCTCCTTCTTTCTCTTTCTTTCCTCCTTCCCTCACTCTTTCTCCTTCCATCTTTTCTTTCCTTTCCCCTTCCTTTCCCTCTTCCTCCTTCCCTTCCTTCCTTCCTTCTTCCTTCTTCCTTCCCTTCTGTCTTTCCTTTTTCTCTTTCCTCCTTTTCTCCTCCTCCTTCCTTCCCCCTTTTCTTCCTTCCTTCCTTCCTTCCTTCCTTCCTTCCTTCCTTCCTTCCATCCATCCATCCATCATTCTCCTTCCTTCCCTTTTGTCTTTCTTCTTTTTCTCTCCTTCCTCCTTACCTCCCTCCCTCTATCCTCTCTCCATCCCTCCATTCCCTCCCCTTCCTTCCTTTTATCTTTCCTTCCTCTCCTTCCTCCTTCCTCCCCCTCCCTCTTTCTCCTTTTCCTCCCTTCCATTCTTTTCTCCTTCCTTCTCTCCCTTTTGTCTTCTTTCTCCTTTTCCTTCCTCCTTCTCCCTCCCTCCCTTCCCTCCCTCTTTCCTCCTTCCTCTTTTCTTCCCCTTCTCCTTCTTCTTCCCCTTTTCCTCCTCTTTCTCCTTCCTTCCTTCTTCTCTTCTCCTCCCTTTTCTTTCCTTCTTCCTCTTTCCCTTCCCCTTCTCTCCCTCCCTCTTCTCCTCCTTCCTTCCTTCCACCTTTTTCTTTTCTTCCTTCTCTCCTCCCTCCCTTCCATCCTTCCTTTCCCTCTTTTCCTTCCTTCCTTTTGTCTTCCTTCCTTTCTCTTCCTTCCTCCTTACCTCCCTCCTCTCTCTTTCTCCTCCTCCTCCCTTCCACTCTTTCATCCTTCCTTCCTTTCCTTTCCTTCCTCTCCCTTCCTCTTCCTTCCCCTTCCCTTCCTTCCTTCTCTTTTTCCTTACTTCTTCCCTTCCACCCTTTCATCCTTTCTCCCTTCCCTTTGGTCTTTCCTTCCTTCTCTTTTTCCTTCCTTCTTAACTCTCTCCCTCCCTTACTTCCCTCTTTCTCCTTCCATCTTTTCCTTCAAACCTTTAGTCCTTCGTTCCCTCTTTCCTCCCTCTTTCTCCTTCCTTCTTTCTTTTTCCTTCTCTCTTTCTCCTTCCCTTCCCTCTTTCTCCCTCCTCCATTCCCTTCCACCCTTTCATCCTTCTTCCTTTCCTTCCCCCTTTTGTCTTTCTTTTCCTTCCTCCTTACCTCTCTCCCTCTATCCCTCTTTCTCCTTCCATCCTTTTGACCTTCCTTCCTCCTTCCCTTCCTTCCATCACCGAGCAGCCAGTCCTCCTCGCAAGGAATACTAGCATGCAGCCCCCAAGTTAGAAAGTTAGCCCTCAAAGGTGCGAAGATATTGGGTTATATCTTTTCAACTAAAGCTGAACTTTTTTAAAAAAGTGTGCCGCAAGAGTCTTTTGCCTGCAGAGTTTTGACTTTTGAGTCTGAAATGGGGAAATGGAATGACAACTTGAACATCCGACCTATAAATACATACCGATCGGGGTCAAAATCCCCTAACGTCCCAGCAGGTCCTTGTTGCTTCTGCAGCATCCGGTGTTGATCCCGGGCCTGCTGGTACGCCTGCTCCAAGGCACCTTGGGCATCCCTTAGCCTTGCAAAGCCCTGCAATGGACAGGAAGATGAGAAAGGAGGCAGAACATCTTGAATCATCGGCCACCATTAACACTATGTAACCACATTTGAAAATAGTTGTTATACTCCAGAAATTTGGATTTTGTGACTGTCATAAACTATGTTGAATTGTTTGAGACTCTTATCAGATATTAGGAACGTGAAGGCCATTTAAAAATGGTTCAAAAGTACTTACAAAACTGGGGGATGCTGGTGCTTCATTTCCAAAGTGTTTCTAAAGTGTTTCTAAAGTATACTTATTGAAAAACTCGTTACTATGCGCATAATAATTTTTTTATAATTGGGGAAACTTCAAGGGCTCCTTTTCCCCTCACTATTACAGCTACTGGAGCAAAACTTGCTATAGTGGAAGAACGCATTTGTCACTGATAGTCCGCCAAATTTCAGAACATTTCACTTATCTGCTGATTTTTGGGGAATTTTCAAAGTTTTTATAAACAACATATTTTTTCCAAAAAACTACTTGAATTTTATATACAATTTTATATAACCAAAAAATTATATAACCATAATTTTATATAACCAGGGCATCAATCCCCAGAAGTTCCAGAAAGATTCACACATCTCCAGATTTTGGGGGATTTTTAAAAGTTTAGACAAAAACAATTTATTCTCCCTGGGCTCCTTTCTCCCCCAGTTTTATAGCTATTGGAACAAAACTTGCTATAGTGGAAGAACGCCTTTGTCACTGTTAGTCCGCCAAATTTCAGAACATTTCACTTATCCGTTGATTTTTGGGGAATTTTCAAAGTTTTTATAAACAACAGTTTTTTCAAAAAACTATTTGAATTTTATATACAATTTTGTATAACCAATAAAATTATATAACCATAATTTTATATAACCAGGGCATCAATCCCCAGAAGTTCCAGAAAGATTCACACATCTCCAGATTTTGGGGGATTTTTAAAAGTTTTGTCAAAAACCATTCATCCTCCCCCCCAAAAAATTGACAATTCCCTTGAATGTCTGTTTGCCTCTATGACACAACCACATAACTCCAACTTAGTGCAAATTTATACTATTGCTTACTTACTTTAGTCCTCTTTGCAGATACAATAATTTTATTTATTATTATTAGTCTGAGTCTAAACAGCTGGTTGCTGCAGCCCAATGCTGATCATTGCATCATTGGTGTTTCTGATGCTCAGCATTGCATTCTGGGAAATGTAGTTTAAGGCAGGGCCTTATGCATTCTCTGCCACAAAAGGGCTTCACCTTCCCAAACTACATTTTAAAGTTTTCTGTGTTCTCAGTCTCCCACCCTTTAACTTTAGTCCTGTTCACAGTGCCTTCCTTATGGCGATTGGGCCAAAGAAAAAGGACTGGTTTTGAAAGCACTTTATGTTCTCTTGGCTTTGCCAAAGTTGCTTCATGTTCATTACTTACTTTAGTCCTCTTTGCAGATTCAATAATTTTATTTATTATTATCAGACTGACTTCAAAGGGTGCCTGCTGCAGCCAGCCCTCATTGGGTCCTTCAGATGCTGAGCATTGCATTCTGGGAAATGTAGTCTAGGGCAGGGCCTTGTGCATTCTCTGCCACAGGGGGCCTTGCCTTCCCAAACTACGTTTTAAAGCTTGCTGTGTTCTTAGTCTCCCACCCATTAACTTGCCTTCCCAAACTACATTTTAAAGCTCTTGCTGTGCTCTTTAGTCCTGTCCACAGTGCCTTCCTTATGGCGATTGGGTCAAAAGAAAAAGGACTGGTTTTCAAAGCACTTTATGTTCTCTTGGCTTTGTCAAAGTTGCTTCATGTTCATTACTTACTTTAGTCCTCTTTGCAGATTCAATAATTTTATTTATTATTATTATTAGACTGACTTTAAACGGTGGCTGCTGCAGCCAGCCCTTATTGGGTCCTTCAGATGCTGAGCATTGCATTCTGGGTAATGTAGTTTAGGGCAGGGCTTTGTGCATTCTCTGCCACAGGGGGCCTTGCCTTCCCAAACTACATTTTAAAGCTTGCTGTGTTCTCATTCTCCCACCCATTAACTTTAGTCCTGTCCACAGTGCCTTCCTTATTGCGATTGGGCCAAAGAAAAGATTGGTTTTCAAAGCACTTTATGCTCTCTTGGCTTTGCCAAAGTTGCTTAATGTTCATACTTACATTAGTCCTCTTTGCACTCAACAATTGTATTTATTATTATTAAACTGACTTTAAACTGCTGCAGCCAGCCCTCATTCGGTCCTTTAGATGCTGAGCATTGCATTCTGGGAAATGTAGTTTAGGGCAGGGCCTTCCCAAACTACATTTTAAAGCTTGCTGTGTTCTCAGTCTCCCACCCATTAGTCCTGTCCACAGTGCCTTCCTTATGGCGACTGGGTCAAAGGAAAAGGATTGGTTTAGCTCTCTAACCCCGGCAATTCTTCTGAGATGCCTTCCCTAAGCTGCTTAAGGTTTAAGCGTCATAATAAGTTACCTGAGTTTTATTTATCCAGTGGCAGCTGGCACTTTCTGAGGCTGGGGGAGTGTAAATTGAGGTCACCAGAGTCAAAGGGCTACCAAAAACAAAGCATCCTTCAAATATTTAAACATGGCTACCATGCCCGTATCCAACGTCTCTTCTCCAAGCTAAACATTCCCAAATCCTTAAGCCGTTCCTCGTAGGGCTTGGCTTGCAAAACTTAGGACATTTTGGTCACCCTTCTCTGGACACATCTAGGGATGCAATCTAGAATGGCATTGAATTTAGTACCTTTCGCTGGTCCTCAGGTGTCAGCCTCCCCGTCCGAACTAAGTCCTCCAGAGATTCCACCTAAATGTAAACATGCAGAGTGCTTACTAAAGAGCTTGCCTTTTCAGATCACTGGAAAGTCTTTCTTGCTGCAAGGATACCCACAGAGCCCCATGTCACTTATATACCTTCTCGTCTACAAAGGGAACATCTAGACTGCAGAATTAATGCAGTTCAACGCCACTTTAAGTGCCATGGCTCAATGCTATGGAATCACAGGGGTTATAGTTTGGAGAACGCCTTTGCAGAAACATACAAGAAGCTTGGCCTCTCATTGAACATCAAGAAAACCAAAGTGCTCTTCCAGCAGTCACCAATCTCTCTGCAATGCCAGAAATACAGCTTAATGGTATAACATTAGGGAATGTTGACCATTTCTGCTCCCTTGGCAACCACCTCTACACAAAAGTCAACATTGACACTGAAATACAGTACAACACCGTCTGAGCTCTGCGAGCGCAGCATTTTTCCAAATGAAGCAGAGAGCGTTTGAGGACCGGGACATCCATAGAGACACCAAGATGCTTCTTTATAAAGCTATTGTCATCCCAATCCTGTTATATGCCTGCAAAATGTGAACTGTCTGCAGATGTCACACTCAACTCCTGGAACAATTCCATCAGTGTTGCCTCCGAAAAATGCTGCAAATCTCTTGGGAAGACAGGCGGACAAATGCCAGTGTGCTTGAAGAAGCAAAGACCACCAGCATTGAAGCAATGCTCCTATGCCATCAACTCTGAAGGCCACGTGGTCCGAATGCCCAAAGATCACTGTCTCCCAAAGCAGTTACTATACTCCCAACTCAAGAATAGGAAACGGAATCTTGGTGGACAAGAAAAGAGATTTAAAGATGGGCTTAAAGCCAACCTTAAAAACTCTGACATAGACACTGAGAACTGGGAAGCCCTGGCCCTTGAGCGCTCTTGCTGGAGGTCAGCTGTGACCACCAGTGCTGCGGAATTCAAAGAGGACACAAACGGAGGGCAGGAGAGAGAAATGTGCTAAGAGGAAGGCGCATCAAGCCAATCCTGACCGGGACCGCCTTCCACCTAGAAACCGATGTCCTCACTGTGGAAGAACATATGGATCAAAAATATTATTATTATTATTATTATTATTATTATTATTATTATTACACTTTATTTGTACCCCGCTACCATCTCCCCAAGGGACTCAGTGCGGCTTACATGAGGCCGAGCCCAAATACAACAATATAGACAATAAACAACAATACAACGCAATAAAAAATAAAACATTATCACTAAGACAACACACAATTAAAAAAAGTGGGAAGGCTTCACAGCCACCTACATATCCACTGCCAAGACACTACATTTGGAAGGTCATCATACTTGGACAATGAGCAATCGCCTAAGTAATTAAGTAAGTAAGTAAGTTTGGTGAGGCACCAACACTCTTGGATAGGGAAGGCTAAAGACCTTATAAAACTATAAGTCTCGGTATTCCATAGCACTGAGTCATAACAGTTGAAGTGAGATGAAACTGCAGTGTACTTGTCCCCTAAGACCGCTGGGGCTCCCTTGCTTGTGCACCAATGCTTTTTGTAAAAGATATCCTTTCGTTATTTCCATTTGGCTTTGTAACTATGGACTATGAAAGAAAATTGTTCAAAGGGCAGAAAAAAAGACATGCTACACCAATACGATAGATAGATAGATAGATAGACAGATAGATAGGGGAGGTAAAGGTTTCCCCTCGAAATTAAGTCTAGTTGATTTGGAGGGTGGTGCTCACCTCCATTTCTAAGCCGAAGAGCCGGCGTTGTCCACAGACACCTCCAAGGTCATGTGGCCAGCATGACTGCATAGAGCGCCATTACCTTCTCATAGAAGCGATACCAATTGATCTTCTCACATTTGCATGTTTTTGAACTGTTAGGTTGGCAGAAGCTGGGGCTAACAGCGGGAGCTCACCTCGCTTCCCGTATTCGAACCACTGACCTTTCGGTCAGCAAATTCAGCAGATCAGCAGTTTAATCCACTGCACGGGGGCTCCATATATAGTGTTCCCTCACTTATCCAGGACCATCCGCAATAAGTGAAAATCCGTGAAGTCGAGATGCTATATTAATTTTAATATTAATATTTATACATTATTTTAGCCTACCTTAGAAAGGGAGGCTGCTGTGCGGGCCAGAACTCCCTCTGCCGGCTCCACTTGCCCTCCCGCAACTTGGAGCACTTGTGCGGCTGCCCCTCCCCGTCCATCCCAAGGGTACCTGCCTGTCTCTCAGGCCTCCGCAGACCCTGGCAGAGTCTCCAGAACTACGGTGGCCAGGGTGGCAGGCCTTCCCTGCTGCGAATCAGGACACCGGTATTGTGGTAGCCTGAGATGTAGTCCAATTCCTGCTTGCTGCTGCCTGTGTGGCTCCGGAGGCTCTGCTGGGGTCTGCGGAGGCAGGCAGGCACCCTTGGGATGGGCCAGAAGAAGGAGCAGCCGCACAAGTACTCCAAGTCACGGGAGGGCAAGCGTAGCCAGTGGAGGGAGTTCTAACCTGCACACCAGCCTCCCTTTCTGAGACCCATTGAAATGTACGTAAATATTTTTTAGGGCTGGAGGTTTACCACAGCTGGTAAATCATCAGCAATTATAAGATCAATTAACCAAAAGCTTGCAAGTTCGAAGCCCCGAGTTGGTGTGAGCTGCCAACTATCAGCCTAGCTCATTGTTTACCTAAGTAATTCGAAAACAGCTTTAGCTGTGATTAGAGAAATTAGGTACCGCTAAATAGTGGGGGAGGTGATTTACGAGGTCATAAAGAAAGAAGATCAGAAAATGCTGGGCGACCAATAGGAAGGAGGAAGTCCTGACAGCTCTTCATCATAAAGAGCAACAGCACCCCTTGGACTTGAGTTCAACCTTCCATGGCATCTCCTTCTGTTCTGTCTGTGTATTGTCTATACAAAGTGGCATTGAATGTTTGCCATGTATGTGTACTGTGATCCGCCCTGAGTCCCCTTCGGGGTGAGAAGGACGGAATAATAATAATAATAATAATAATAATAATAATAATAATAATTTAATATTTTTATGTAATTCTGTTGTTGTTGTTGTTTGCAGTTTATGTTTTGATTTTATTGCTGTAATATGTTGTCCGGGCTTGGCCCCATGTAAGCCGCTCCGAGTCCTCATCGGGGAGATGGTGGCGGGGTATAAATAAAGATTATTATTATTATTATATTTACAAAAACCCGCGAAACAGCGAGCCCTTGTAAAGCGAACCGCAAAGTAGCGAGGGAACACTGTGTGTGTATATATATACACACACACACACACACACACACACACACACATATACATAGAGGGGGAGGGAGGGAGAGAGGGAGATGTTTCAAATATGTAAATTAAATGAGCAAGAGAAATGGCTTGCCAGGATCACTCTAGCATTCTCTCTTTCTCCTTGTACATACTATTGCAACAGTGCTAATTGGAAAATTAGCACTAATTGGGCTCCATGCTCAATTAGTGTCCGAACAAGCCCAGCAAAACCATTCCGAAGTGAGAATGCCAATTGTCACCTTTTCCTTTCTCCCATGCTTCCATTGCACCGAGCCTTGGCAGTTCATGTGGAGTCAAGCCACATTAATTCTCGAGTGGAGACGCACCCTTAGTCTCATACGCATCAGTAAAATCAAGTTTATTCAAGTTAGCTGCACAGACCCCTTTCCTGGTTTAATTTGGTTTGGCTCTATTTAACAAGCATCTCAAAGGCAACAGGGCAAGCTTCTCATTTGCGCTTGCTTCGTGTTCAACCTATTAGTTCCAGCTTGCTGACCGCCTCTTCCCTTATTTACATGATGAAGCAACAGGTTTTGAGTACACTGCATTAAGAGAAAATGCACTGGAAAAAAAGAGCTGCTGTGGTTGGAAGCCATTGGATGCAACTTCTAAACAATCCAAAAATATATATGTTGCATTGAGTTCAAATCCAAAGGATTATGGCTGGATCTATGTTGCCAAATAATGCATAATACAGCCAGTATAGACCCATATAATGCAGTTTATGGGGGAATCCAACTAGTTCAGCCTTTTCTCGGTCCCATCCCATTTGTTGCTCCCAAGTAGTATTGCACATACCTGAGACTGGAATTTCTTTGCCTGCAAAGCCAACAACTTGGTCAACTCATCTCCTGTGAAAAAGTCGCCTTTGGAAGGAGAACCATCCATGCTCAAAATGCCAGGGTTTGCAGAGCTGCTACCGGAAGATGAAATTGCAAACTGTCCAGAAAACCCTGCCAAGGAAAGAGACAGAAACCAATTATTGTTGTCTTGGGGTTGTCAAAGACCTTTCTATACAACATATTACACCACAGCCTTGAGACATCCTTTCACATCGGAGTCCAGTGATCCAGTAATATAATGGTTATTGAAGCAAAAATATAAAAAAGGGGGAGAAGGTCAAATCCAAAAGAAACAGAATATAAAATGCAATATACACAACAAACCAGAGTACAGTAGCAGGGATGCAAAAATGTCAGGTTAAACCCCAAAGTCCAGGAGTGCAAGAATACAGAAGTAATCCAAGGTATTTACACGAACATAGGAATCTCTCCAAGGCATATCCTCCAAAGGTACATAAGCATAGACAGGAACATAAAACAAAAAGCTTGACAATATGGGAGCCAGGAACTTGAACAGGAGACTGAATCCCCAATAGCAACATTGTCTCCTCTGAGACACCGGGCACCCATGACATCATATCTAACACACCTAGACTTCAAGGTCTTATCACGAACATGAACAGGAGACTGAATCCCCAATAGCAATGTTGTCTTTCTGAGATACCGGGCACCCATGACATCATGTCTAACACACCTAGACTTCACGGTCTTATCATGAACATGAACAGGAGACTGAATCCCCAATAGCAACATTGTCTCCTCTGAGATACCGGGCACCCATGACATCATATCTAACACACCTAGACTTCAAGGTCTTATCATAAACATGAACAGGAGACTGAATCCCCAATAGCAACATTGTCTCCTCTGAGATACCGGGCACCCATGACATCATATCTAACACACCTAGACTTCAAGGTCTTATCACGAACTTGAACAGGAGACTGAATCCCCAATAGCAATGTTGTCTTTCTGAGATACCGGGCACCCATGACATCATGTCTAACACACCTAGACTTCAAGGTCTTATCATAAACATGAACAGGAGACTGAATCCCCAATAGCAACATTCTCTCCTCTGAGATACCGGGCACCCATGACATCATATCTAACACACCCAGACTTCAAGGTCTTATCACAAACATAAACAGGAGACTGAATCCCCAATAGCAACATTGTCTCCTGTGAGATACCGGGCACCCATGACATCATATCTAACACACCTAGACTTCAAGGTCTTATCACAAACATGAACAGGAGACTGAATCCCCAATAGCAACATTGTCTTCTCTTAGATACCGGACACCCATGACATCATATCTAACACACCTAGACTTCAAGGTCTTATCACGAACATGAACAGGAGGCTGAATCCCCAATAGCAACATTGTCTCCTCTGAGATACTGAGCACCCATGACATCATGTCTAACACACCTAGACTTCAAGGTCTTATCATGAATCCTCTGGGAATATCTAGTCTGCGTATTTTTCAAGCCCTGCATTCTCAAGTTTAAAGCAGTGGTTCTCAACCTGAGGGTCCTCAGGTGTTTTGGCCTCCAATTACCAGAAATCCCAGCCAATTTGTGAGCTGCTAGGATTTCTGGGAGTTGAAGACCAAAACATCTGGGGATCCACAGGTTGAGAAGCACTTTCTTAGAGAATAACGTCAGGAATGTTCAGCTGCATTTTTTCATACATTTGATGTGGGATAGTATTCATTGGATACTGTCTATTCCAGAGGAATGCAGTCACTCAAGATCCTGGTTCTGCCAATCCACTCGGGTTGTGTACTTGGGTCTTTGTTTGACCAATGGCCAAGGTTGACATTCACTGTGACATGGTTTGGGAAGCCAGCATGTGCCTTATTGGGGTCCATCCCTTCTTCAAGTGGGTCTTAAAGTCAACTGTAGAATGAAGTTGAATGGAGAAACACAACATGTTGAGGAATGATGGGAGTTGGGTGTCTAGCAACATCTAGGACAGTGATTCCCAACGTAAAGACAACAAAGCTCCTCAGCATGGAAGATGGAGCGACAGCACTCCCCGTGGCCAGAATTGAGTATCGCCTCGAGATGCTGGAGATGGAAAAAGATGGGAAGCCTTTACCTCTGTTTATGTACTGTCTATCTTTGCCAATTGTGTAATGGCATTGAATGTTTGCTGTATGTGTGTTCTGTAATCCGCCCTCAGTCCCCTCGGGGAGATAGAGAGGAATATAAATAATAGTGTGTGTGTGTGTGTGTGTGTGTGTGTTGTAGGGTTTCCGGAGGTCATGAAAATAGGCTACAGGGGCTGCTTTTGACCCATAACTTGAACTATGAACTTTCCTAGGAAGAGTGTTGCTTCTTTAGATGAATGGATAGGACGAAGAACTTACCCACCGGGACTGTGGCGCAGCTGGCTGGGAGTCAGCTGCATTAAGATCACTACTGACCAAAAGGTCATAAGTTCGAAACCAGCCCAGGTCAGAGTGAGCTTCCAACCAAAATTGTGTAGCTTGTTGTCGACTTTTGCAGCCCGAAAGACTTGCATCTGTCAAGTGGGAAATTTAGGTGCTACTTATGTGGAGAGGCTAATTTAACTGATTTACAAGGCCATAAAAATCTCCAGGAAGTATGCAAAGAATGAGGAAGTACTTCATCAGTGTCACAAATGGACAGTGAAGTGACAGCTCCCCTGGTGGCCAGAAGCTGGAATGTTAAATAGCCTCTGAGTGTCTCTGTATATATGATGTGTGTCTATGCATATTTGCCATGTATATGTACTTTGTAATCCCTGAGTGCCCTGCAGGATGAGAAGGGCAGAATATAAATACTGTAAGCAAACAAACAAACAAACAAACAAATACATAGATGTCTGATACCTACCTTTGTCCTGAGCAGGTTCTAATGCTGGGTGAGATCTCCCTGTGATCTCAGATGCCCTGACCTGAGGGAGGCTAAGCGTCATAACCTTGGAGGCTGGTGATACCGTCCCCATCTGGACCATATAGCTGGGCTGCGGAGAGTCAGCATACAAGTGTACCTAGAAAGAATACAAAGCGGACTTCAATATTCCCATAGCTTTCGATTTCTCCTATTGGTCCTTCATCATCCCATTTTCCAGCTATTTTTTAAAAATCCATTGTATTTATTTTCACACTAGGCAGATCATTGAATATGGCGGATAGATGTGAGAAAGTCAAGAGAGCTGATAGGAAGAGAATTTGATTGTAGGTGAACTATAAATCCCAGTAACTACAACTCCCAAATGTCACAGTTTATTTTCCTCAAACGCCATCTGTGTTCATATTTGGGCATATGGAGTATTCGTGCCAAGTTTGGTCCAGATCCATCATTGTTTGAGTCCACAGTGCTCTCTGGATGTAGGTGAACTACAACTCCCAAACTCAAGGTCAATGCCCACCAAACCCTTCTAGTGTTTTCTGTTGGTCATGGGACCCCTGTCCAAGTTTGGTTCAATTCCATCATTGGTGGGGTTCAGAATGCTCTTTGATTGTAGGTGAACTATAAATCCCAGCAACTACAACTCCCAAATGTCAAAGTCTATTTTCCTCAACCTCCATCTGTATTCATATTTGGGCATATTGAGTATTCATGCCAAGTTTGGTCCACATCCATCATTGTTTGAGTCCACAGTGCTCTCTGGATGTAGGTGAACTACAACTCCAAAACCAAGGTCAATGCCCACCAAACCCTTCCAGTATTTTCTGTTGGTCATAGGAGAACTGTGTGCCAAGTTTGGTTTAATTCTACTGTCGGTGGGGTTCAGAATACTCTTTGATTGTAGGTGACTATAAATCCCAGCAACTACAACTCCCAAATGTCAAGATTTTTCCCAAACTCCACCAGTGTTCACATTTGGGCATATTGAGTATTTGTGCCAAGTTTGGTCCAGATCCATCATTGTTTGAGTCCACAGCGCTCTCTCTTGATGTAGGTGAACTACAACTCCAAAACCCAAGGCCAGTGCCCACCAAAACTTTCCAGTATTTTCTGTTGGTCATGGGAGTCCTGTGTGCCAAGTCTGGTTCAATTCCATCGTTGGTGGGGTTCAGAATGCTCTTTGATTGTAGGTGAACTATAAATCCCAGCAATGTTAGGTTCATCTCCAACTCCATTCATAAACAACTCCAGGAACAGGATGACGTTCCTCCTCTCCCTTCACCCTTTGTCCGTTTTCACTCACTTGTTTTCTGCTCAGGAGGATGAGCACTGGATTTCAATAATCCCTGCCATCTGTGCTCCTTCTTTCTCTCCTTCGCTCCGTGAACCAGAAATCCGGCCTAAGCTCAGTCTAAACACCTCTGGTGAGAAACCAATATCTTGCAGCATATTTTGCTCTACTTTTTCAATGAATATCTCATCAAGTCTCAACCAATTCCACATAGTTTGTGGCAAGACACAAAAATGAAGTTTCTGGAGTAGAGCAACAACTTTCAAAGTAAGGACTGCACAACTGAACAGGAAGTAACACTTTCAACAGGGAAGCATGCTTGCTCCATCCGTTTACATAAATGATCAGTCACTGCCAGAAGGGACAGAGAGTTTCATCTATGCTGACGATCGTGCCATCACCACCCAAGTAGGGAGCTTTGAAATGGTTGAACAGAAGCTCTCCAAAGCTTCAGGTGCTTTTACTGCCTATTACAGGGAAAATCAGCTGACTCCTAATCCATCTAAAATGCAGACATGTGTTTTTCATCTCAAGAACTGGCAAGCATCTTGAGCTCTGAAGATGACCTGGGAAGGAATCCCACTGGAGCATTACAGCACACCCAAATACCTGGGAGTCACTCTGGACCGTGCTCTGACTTATAAGAAGCACTGTTTGGCTATCAAGCCAAAAGTGGGGGTAAAAACAATATCATACTAAAGCTGACTGGCACAACCTGGGTATCACAACCAGACACAGTGAAGACATCTGCCCTTGTGCTTTGCTTCTCTGCTGCTGAATACACATACCCAGGATGGAAGACATCTCACCATGTTAAAATAGTGGATGTTGCTCTTAATGAGACATGCCACATTATCACAGGATGTTTATGCCCAACACCGCTGGAGAAATTGTACTGTTTAGCCGGTATTGCACCACCTGATATCCGCAGGGAAGTAAAAGCCAGCAATGAAAGTACAGAGGCATTGACATATCCTGCCCATCCTCTGTTCGGATATCAGCCAGCATATCAACGCCTTAAATCAAGAAATAGCTTCCTAAGATCTAAAGAGAGACTCGCAAGAACACCTCAGCAAGCAAGAGCCCAAAAGTGGCAGGGTAAAACCTGGAACCTCAATCAGTGGCTGACACTGGGTGGGAGACTCCCTCCTGGGCACACAGAAGGCTGGGCGACTTGGAAGGTGCTGAACAGACTGCACTCTGGCACCACGAGATGCAGAGCCAACCTTAAGAAATGGGGCCACAACGTGGAGTCCACGACATGCGAGTGTGGAGAAGAGCAATCCACAGACCACCTACTACAATGCAGTCTGAGCCCTGTCACATGCCCAATGGAGGAACTTCCCACAGCAACACCAGAGGCACTTGCAATGCCCAGTTTCTGGTAAAAGGAAACTTCTGGTAAAAGAAGCACTGTTTGGCTATCAAGCAAAAAGAGGGGATAAAAACAATATTATACCCAAGCTGACTGGCACAACCTGGGGTTCACAACCAGACACATCTGCCCTTGTGCTTTGCTTCTCTGCTCCTGAATACGCATGCCCAGTGCAGAACACATCTCACCATTTTAAAACAGTGGACTTGGCTCTTAATGAGACTTACCACATTGTCACAGGATGTTTACACCCTACAACACTGGAGAAATTATATTGCTTATATATTGTACCACCTGACATACGTTGGGAAGCAGCAGCCTGCAATGAAACGACCACGGCAGTGGCATCCCTGGCCCATCCTCTGTTTGGATATCTGCCCGCTTGCCAATGCCTTAAATAAAGAAAACAGATTCCTAAGAGCTACAGAGATACTCACATGAACACCTCAGCAAGCGAGGGTCCAAAAGTGGCAGGCAAAAACCCGGAACCTCAAGCCATGGCTGATACTGGATGAGAAATTCCCTCCTGGGAACACAGAAAACTGGGGGATTTGGAAAGTGCTGAACAGGCTGTGCTCTGGCGCCACGAAGTGCACATCCAATCTTCAGAAATGGGGCCACAAAGTGGAGCCAACGACATGTGAGTCTGAAGAGCAAACCACAGACCACTTGCTACAATGCAGTCTGAGCCCTGCCACATGCACAATGGAGGACCTTCTTACAGAGACACCAGAAGCAGTCCAAGTGGCCAGCTTCTGGTCAAAGGATGCTTAGTTGAATGTCATGCTTTTAACTTTGTGTTTTTTAATACATAATAACTGTACCCCCAACTCTCTTCTGACACAATAAATAAATCTATATAAATAAAAATGCAATGTTCGTTTGTGGGATTAACAGAACTCAAAAACCACTGGACGAATTGCCGCCAAATTTGGCCACAAGATACCTACTAGCCCAAGGAGTGACCATCATTCAAAAATTGATTTTGTCCTTTGGGAGTTGTACTTGCTGGGATTTATAGTTCACCTACAACCAAAGAGCATTCTGAACTCCAGCAATGATGGAATTGAACCAAACATGGCATGCAGGACTCCCATGACCAACAGAAAATACTGGAAGGGTTTGGTGGGCATTGACCTTGATTTTGGGAGTTGTAGTTCACCTACATCCAGAGAGGACTGTGGACTCAAACAATGATGGGTCTGGACCAAACTTGGCACGAATATTCCATATGCCGAAAGATGAAAACAGGTGGACTTTGGGGAAAATAGACCTTGACATTTGGGAGTTATAGAACTTCACCAATGACGGAATTGAACCAAACATGGCACACAGGACTCCCATGACCAAGAGAAAACACTACAAGGGTTTGGTGGGCATTGACCTTGATTTGGGAGTTGTCGTTCACCTACATCCAGAGAGAGCTGTGGACTGCAACAATGATAGATCTGGACCAAACTTGGCACGAATATTCCATATGTGCAAATATGAACACAGATGGAGTTTGGGGAAAATAACCTTGCCATTTGAGAGTTGTGGTTACTGGGATTTATAGTTCAACTACAATCAAAGAGCATTCTGAACCCCACCAACGAGAGAATTGGGGCAAACTTCCCACACAGAACCCCCATGACCAACAGAAAATACTTAAGGCCATCCAGTCCAACTCCCTTCACCAGGGCAAGAAAACGTAATCAAAGCCCTCCTGACAAAGAGCCATCCAGCCATAGATATATATATGTTTCACACCGAGAGATATAGTATCATACATTTGAAAGGGACCCCTAAAGAAGGACAATGATATGTTGCATGTTCCAGAGTAGGCAAACCAGACACTCTCCACGTCAACTCTGACAAAGAAACAACAAGAAATACTGTTTACTCACAAGCATAAAGGAATTACATATATCAGAAACCAACACTTTCTCATTACTTTATTTTCCAGATCACCAGACTGGGCCACAGCAACGTGTGGCAGGGGACGGCTAGTGATAAAAAAATAAATAATAGTATAATTTCGGCATGTTCTCACTGTCCCGCTCTCTTCCTGTTCAGGAATGAGTCATTGCAACATGCAGGAACCCGTTACCACAGTGGGGCGGCTTTTCTTTTTCTAGGACTTCATGCAAGGACAGAAATGAAGAAGTGGACAGTCTACTTCCTGTCTCACAAGCATGTTCCCACAACCTTATAAAAACCACCCCAGAGGAGCTCGGAGAACTTTCTCGCAGGAGAACGATGGGAACTGAAACCCTACAGCTTCTGCAAGAGGCCCCACAACTTTAGAGCACTTCCTACCTTTTCACCCAGTCTCAGCCGATCAATAGTATTCTCAGCTTCAGCATATTTCGTCAGCAGTTTGTGGTAATCCTCCTACAAAGAAGAAGAAAGAGATGGTGATCATTTAGCTCAGTGGTTCTCAACCATCCTAATGCTGCGACCCCTTAATACAGTTCCCCATATTGTGGTGACCCCCAACCATAACATTAATTTTGTTGTCGTCATTTTGCTACTGTTACGCATCGTCATGTAAATATCTGATATGCAGGATGTATTTTCATTCACTGAAACAAATTTGGCACAAATATCCCTTACGCCCCAATTGGAATACTGGTGGGGTTGGGGAGGATACATTTTGTCATTTGGGAGTTGTAGTTGCTGGGAGTTATAGTTCACCTACAATCCAAGAGCATTCTGAACTCCACCAATGATGGCATTGAACCAAACTTGGCACACAGAACTCCCCTGACCAACAGAAAATACTTCGTGGGCATTGACATAGAGTTTGGAAGTTGTAGTTGCAGGGATTTATAGTTCACCTACACTCAAAGAGCATTCTGAACTCCACCAGTGATGGCATTTAACCAAACTTGGCACATAGAACTCCCATGACCAACGGAAAATACTTCGTGGGCATTGACCTTGAGTTTGGGAGTTGTAGTTGCAAGGATTTATAGTTCACCTACAATCCAAGAGCATTCTGAACTCAACCAATGATGGAATTGATCCACACTTGGCACACAGAACTCCTAGGACCAACAGAAAAGACTGGAAGAGTTTGGTGGGCATTGACCTTGAGTTTGGGAGTTGTAGTTCACCTACATCCAGAGAGCACTGGGGACTCAAACAATGATGGATCTGGACCAAACTAGGCAGGGATACTCAATATGCCCAAATGTGAACACTGGTGGAGTTTGGGGGAAAATAGACCTTAACATTTGGGAGTTGTAGTTACTGGGATTTATAGTTCACCTACAATGAAAGAACATTCTGAACCCCATCAATGATAGAGTTGGGCCAAACTTCCCACACAGAATCCCCATGCCTTGAAGGGACTCACTAGCACAAGCCTCCCTCCAGCCTCGCATGCTCTCCCTTGCCCACATGTGCACACCACGCTGTCAAGTGCTGAGTACACCTGCTCTCCCCTCCCCACTTGAAGTCTCCCTTGGCTGAGACGCCAGCTGAGAATCCAGCCAATCACAGCAGAGGAGGGCTTTTGGTGGGATGGCTTACTCAAGCAAGTAAGCCAAGCTGCATATTGGTATGTAATAAGAAGGACAGGCGGAGATATCTTCAGCCTTCTCTACCAAAGGGATTCCTAAGACCATCAGAAATATATGTTTTGTGATGGTCTTTGGCGACCCCTCTGAAACCCCCTTATGACCCCCACAGGGATCCCGACCTCCAAGTTGAGAAGTGCTGGTGTAGATGCATCTGTAACTCATGTCTTGAGGGCACACAGCAATATAGGACACTGTCCCCTTGAGTTCAGCACTAAAAAATTACCTGAAGCTGATGCACCAATTCGGTGGCTTGCTGCGGGGATTTCAATTCTTCTGGAATCACGGAGACGGTGGGAGCGGCTGCGTGTTGCTGGGGGGATCCCTCTCCGCTGCTCAACAAGACCTCGCGGACAATCTCAGCAGGAGACTTGAAGATCACCGGCTTCCCAGGATCCCTGGACTTGGCCAGGAGGGTCTTCCCTCGAGGCGGGTGGTAACATTGAGTGGGGAATCTGACCCGAGGCTCCACTTTGGATAGATCCGGCAACGGGTAGTTGAGCTGCCCTCGGCCGTAAGGCACAGCGTTGCTCATAGCAGGGATGGGAGGGCTTGTTTGGGTTGGATTACTGGAATCCGGTCCTCCGGCTGCTTTTCTTTGGGAGGCTCTTCTCGGAGGACTCAGGGATCTTGACTGCCTGCTGAATTTGGACGGGAGACCTTGGGAGATGCTGGTCTTCAGCTTCCGTGCTCTTTCTGGTCTCCACTGATGGACCTGACTTGGATCAGGACCCGTTTCTATAGTCTCACTCAAATCCAATTGTCTCTCTTCAGGTTGAGTTGTGACCAATGTACCATACTGTTCTTTTTGGGATGTCATCTTGAGGACAGTCTCCATCGGTTGACCCATGGTCTCCACCCAGGAAGACATCTCAGGATCAACGCTGGGAGAGTTGCGAAGGTGGTCTGCGAAGGAGCTCCGACTCCAAGGCATGGAAGGTGGAGGAGAACTAAGCCCGGGACTCCTTCCCAATGGAGAGAAGAGCTCCTGAGTGTCACTATGTGGCCCCTGCACCTCAGAGACATCTATTTTTAAGTGGGTGTGCTCCAGAGGCATCCCAGAAGGAGACGGGCTGAGGTTGGAGTTTTCCGATACGTCCTCCTCCCCACCATCTGAGGCCAAGCTGTAGGACTTGCAGTGTTGAAACGAAGTCAAAGGATCTCTCAGTGCCTCAGGACTGGTGCTGAACTCTGAGCCATACTGACCCTCAAAAGAAAGCTCATGGGAGGCCTCTCCATCACTGGCCACATCCCATGCCCCTCTAGGCTCCTCTTGAGCCAAAGAGTTGTCTTGATTGTCTTCTGGGAAATCCAACTGTTGGTCTGTCTTTGGACGCCAATAGGAGAGCGGACTTAGGTCTTCTGGGATCTCATCACCCTCTAGACATTCTGCAAGGAAGGAAACCAAGAGCATTACACTATGTAACAAAATTTGGGGGGGGGGGGAATCTGTTCCTGGTTTGAAACTATTATTTCCTGTTTAATTGTGCCGTCCTTACTTTGAAAGTAGTTGTTCTATTCCAGAAACTTTGTTTTTGTGGCTGCCACAAACTCCGTTGAATTGGTTGAGATGTTCACTGAAAAACTATAGCAAAATATGCTGCAGCATGTCCAACCAAAACAAAGTTTTTGCTACGTTTCCTATGTACCTGCTACCTTAGAGGAATGCCCAGTCTTGCCAATCGAAAGTTTGACAGTTCAAGCCCAGCTTGGGGTGAGCTCCCAACCATCAGCCCAGCTTCTGCTCACCTAGCAGTTCGAAAACAGCAATGTGAGTACCTAAATAGGTACTGCTTTGGCGGGGAGGTAATAAAAGGCACCCATGCGGACATGCCGGTGATTCGATCGGGAGAACATCTAAGGACAACAAAGCTCCTCGGCATGGAAGATGGAGTATCAGCAATCCTCGTGAACAGAATTGAGGACAGCCTCAAGATATCAAAGATGGAAAAAGATGGGAAGCCTTTACCTTTGTTTATGTACTGTCTGTCTTTGTCAACTGTATAATGGCATTGAATGTTTGCCATATATATGTACCGTAATCTCCCCTGAGTCACCTCAAGGAATTAAAGCAGAATAAAGTATATGTATTATTATTATTATTATTATTATTATTATTATTATTATTATTTGAAACACAGCAAGATGAGTCCACAGGAGACACTTTGCTGACTGTTGTATTGGATCACACGTCAGACACTTCCCAAGTGTCTAGGACTGTGTGATGTATCGGCGGATAAATAATAATAATAATAACTAGCTGTACCCGCCACGCGTTGCTGTGGCCAACCTTCCCCCTATCTCCCCTTCTTTCCCTCCTTCCTTCACTCCCTGTATCCTTCCTTCCTTCCCGTCTTTCCTTCTCTCCTTCCTTCCTTCTCTATCGCTTTCCGTCCTTCCCCCTTTTTCTTTCTCTTCTGCTGTGTCTCTTTTCTTCCTTCTCTCTTTCCTCCTTTCCTTCCCTCCCTCTTTCTCTATATTTTATCCCCTTCCTTCGCTCCCTCTTTCCTTCCTTCTGTCCCTTTTTTCTTTCCTTCTCTCCTTCCTTCTTTCTCTAACTTTCCTTCCTCCCCCTTTTTCTTTCCCTCCCTCTTTCTCTCCTTTCTTCCTTTTCTACCTCATTCCTTCCTTCTTGCTTTCCCTCCCTCTTTCTCTCCTTTCTTCCTTTTCTACCTCTCCTTCCTTCCTTCTTTCTTTCCCTCCCTCTTTCTCTCCTGTCAGGGGTGATTTGAATGCAATATTCCTGCTTCTTGGCAGAATGGGGTTGGACTGGATGGCCCATGAGGTCTCTTCCAACTCTTTGATTCTATGATTCTATGCTTCTTCCTTGACAGATTAGAAGGGGGCGTGGCTTGGAGGTAACGTGAGAAGGGTAAGAGGGAGGAGGGGAGGGGGATGGGTTTAGAAGGGGGCGTGGCTTGGAGGAAGGGGGGAGAGGGAGGAGGGGGGGGGACGGGTTTAGAAGGGGCGTGGCTTGGGGGTAAGGTGAGGAGGGAGGAGGGGAGGGGTGATGGGTTTAGAAGGGGGGGGGGGATCGGAAGAGAGGGGATGGGTTTAGAAGGGGCGTGGCTTGGGGGTAGGTGAGGAGGGGAGGGGGGATGGGTTTAGAAGGGGGGGTGGCTTGGAGGTAAGGTGAGGAGGGAGGGGAGGGGGGATGGGTTAGAAGGGGCGTGGCTTGGAGGTAACGTGAGGAGGGAGGAGGGGGGGAGGTTTAGAAGGGGCGTGGCTTGGAGGTAACGTGAGGAGGGTAGAGGGAGGAACGTGAGGAGGGTAGAGGGAGGAGGGGGGGGGATGGGTTTAGAAGGGGGCGTGGCTTGGAGGTAACGTGAGGAGGGAAGAGGGGGGGGGATGGGTTTAGAAGGGGGCGCGGCTTGGAGGTAACGTGAGGAGGGTAGAGGGAGGGGGGATGGGTTTAGAAGGGGGCGTGGCTTGGAGGTAACGTGAGGAGGAGGGGAGGGGGGATGGGTTTAGAAGGGGGCGTGGCTTGGAGGTAATGTGAGGAGGGGAGGGGGGATGGGTTTAGAAGGGGCGTGGCTTGGAGGTAATGTGAGGAGGGAGGTGGGAGGGGGGATGGGTTTAGAAGGGGGCGTGGCTTGGAGGTAATGTGAGGAGGGAGGTGGGAGGGGGGATGGGTTTAGAAGGGGCGTGGCTTGGGGGTAAGGTGAGGAGGGAGGAGGGGAGGGGGGATGGGTTTAGAAGGGGGCGTGGCTTGGAGGAGTGAGGAGGGGGGGGGGTGGGTTAGGAGGTAACGTGAGGAGGGAGGAGGGGAGGGGGGATGGGTTTAGAAGGGGCGTGGCTTGGGGGTAAGGTGAGGAGGGGAGGGGGGATGGGTTTAGAAGGGGGCGTGGCTTGGAGGTAACGTGAGGAGGGGAGGGGGGATGGGGGCGCGCGCGCGCGTGTGTGTGCCGCGCGGGGGGGAGGGGGCGCACACGCGCGCGTGTGTGCCGCGCCGGGGGGAGGGGGCGCGCGCGTGCGGGCGTGTGTGCGCCGCGCCGGGGGGGGGGGGGGGGCGCGCACGCGTGTGTGTGTGTGTGCCGCGGGGGGGGGGGCGGGGGGGGCGCGTGCACGCGTGTGTGTGCATGTGTGTGTGTGCCGCGCCGGGGGGTGTGGGGGGGCGCGCGCGCGCGCGCGCGTGTGCCGCGCCGGGGGGTGTGAGGGGGCACGCGCGCGCGTGTGTGTGCATGTGTGTGTGTGCCGCGCCGGGGGGTGTGAGGGGGCGCGTGCGCGCATGTGTGTGCATGTGTGTGTGTGCCGCGCCGGGGGGGGTGAGGGGGCACGCGCGTGCGTGTGTGTGCATGTGTGTGTGTGCCGCGCCGGGGGGTGTGAGGGGGCGCGCGCGCGCGTGTGTGTGCATGTGTGTGTGTGCCGCGCCGGAGGGGGGAGAGGGGGCGCGTGCGCGCGCGTGTGTGCCGCGCCGGGTGGGGTGGGGGGTGTGCGCGCGTGTGTGCCGCGCCGGGTGGGAGGGGGCACGCGTGTGTGTTTGTGTGCCGCGCCGGGGGGGGGAGGGGCCGTGCGCGTGCCTGTGTGTGTGCCGCGCCGGGGGGGAGGGTGTGGGGCCATGTGTGTCCGCGCCAGGGAGTTTGCGCCAGTGCGCATGCTCAGTTGCTTTGTCGTTTATTGTGGTTGTTGTTGTGTGTTTTTGATTTCTGAGTGGATTAGTTTGTACCTTGTTGGTTGCCCTTGGGGCATGGGAAGTTTGGTGGCGTTTCGTTGGGGGGTTTTTGAGTTTTGTTCCGCCATACGACGCCAGGAGGAAATTTATATATATAGATAATTATTATTATTATTATTATTATTATTATTATTAGCAAGTCTACAAAGCAGAGCAACTGCTCTATCCAAAGCCTTCCAGGACTTCAACAGAAGGTCCATTTTAATCCAAAACCTGAGCTTTCAATAGCTCCTTCATTCCTTGGACATAAAAACAGAAGAAGCTCCAAAGACTGGAATGGGAACTTCTGCAGGTAAAAGATTAAATCTTGACACTGACCTAAACCTACTCATCTGGGAGAAATCAGGAATGTGGTCCCTGGTCATGTAGTCCCTGGTCAAAGTGGTCCCTGGTCAAGTAGTCAAAGTGGTCTCTGGCCAAAGTGGTCCCAGGTCAAGGTTGTACCTGGTTAAAGTGGTCCCTGGTCAAGTAGTCCCTAGCCAGTGGTCCCTGGTCAAGTGGTCCTGGCCAAAATGGTCCCTGGTCATGTAGTCCCTGGTCAAAGTGGCCCCTGGTCAAGTAGTCCCTGGTCAAGTAGTCCCTGGTCAAAGTGGTCTTTGGTCATGTAGTCCCTGGTCAAAGTGGTCCCTGGCAATGTAGTCCCTGGCCAAAGTGGTCCCAGGTCAAGGTAGTCCCTGGTCAAAGTGGTCCCTGGTCAAAGTGGTCCCTGGTCAAAGTGGTCCCTGGTCAAAGTGGTCCCTGGCCATGTAGTCCCTGTTCAAAGTGGTTCCTGGCCAAAGTGGTCCCTGGTCAAAGTGGTCCCTGGTCAAAGTGGTCCCTGGTCGAAGTGGTCCCTGGTCAAAGTGGTCCCTGGCCAAAGTGGTCCCTGGTTAAAATGGTTCCTGGCCAAAGTGCCCAGGTCAAGGTAGTACCTGGCTAAAGTGGTCCCTGCCTAAAGTGGTCCCTGGTTAAAGTGGTCCCTGGTAAAAATGGTCCCTGGTCAAAAAAAGGTTGGGCCTAGAAAGTGATGTTGCACAGATACCATTTTTCCCTGCATGTAAATCAAATGAACACAACTCTTGAATTACTCACCAGCTTGGAGACTCCTAGGTTTGGCCTTTCCCAGGCGTTCAAACTCAGGAAATTCGCCAAAATCATAATCCTCTCCATTCTCTTCCAAAAGATCTTGATAATCCTTAAGCTCCTGCAGGAGATCAACATCTTCTAGGATTTCTTGGGAAGAGGAAGAGATGTTCCAGCGATCCATGTGTCCCAAGAGTCTGCTTTCTCTCTCGTTGTAGCCTCCATTTGGATCCACATGATCCTCGAGGTCAAGCGCCTCTTCTTCTTCCTCCTCCTCTTCTTCGTCCTCTTCTTGTTGGGAACGATGCCGCCACCCAAAGCCATTGTTTGCTGCACTGGCCATTCTGAAAAAGAAGTCTGCGACAGTGCAGCGTGGCGGAATAACTTGCCACAGATGATAGTCTTTCTCTCTCTTTTTTTTTCAAAGGGAGACGCTCACTTGTGCCGCTTCATTCTGGTTTCTCCAAAGTGCTGGGGGGTGAAGTCGGCGGGAGTGGGGGTGTGCATGCCCTAAGAAAGTAGGTCACATTGACACTTTATTCAATGCTTCAAACACATCCTGCCCGGAGGCTGAAAAGAGAAAAAAAAAGACAAAGGAGGTAGACACATGTAATGGCAGTTAACTTTTCTGGACTGTCATTTGGATTTGGAACAGTCTCAGGACAGAATGTAGTCCCTCC